GGGTCAATTTCATATAAATTTTTTTTCTGTGTAGAAAATACTGGCCGAAATGAAATAAAAGCAGGAGCAACAGGGGAGTTGAAACATTTTTGCTAGCAAAATAGTTTTCGCAAATAGTTGATGCCCAAAAAAAAAGCCATGGCAAATATTCATGTTCATGTTCATATATATATATCTCTATATATATACGCTATGGTATATTGTCCAAAAGGGGCGGTGCGGCGGGCGTGGCAGAGCCAGCGAACTGGACGCTAATCAAACTTTTTAATATGCCATGCATGCAACGTGCGGCGACTTTTGTTTTGACACACCGCATTTGTGGGCGGCAAGAGGGGAGTGTTGGGAAAGGAGGGGGCGTGGCAAGTCAGTCCAGCAATATATGAGATATATTTCATATGTGCATAATGCCCGAGTTATTAGATGGCATGTGTGGCAGAGAGATGCTGCCGGAGAACAGATTTAGTTCATATGCCTTGACTACATCTGCGTTTTATGTGCTCGTCTTTTCAACAAATTGTGCAGTGAGCGAAAAAGTGTCTACGAAATAAATATATAAAAAACAGTTTAAAATATACTTAAAAAAAAATGCAGATGATTTTTATTAGATCTCTGGGATATTAAGATAAACAATTTTAAAAATCTTTCAAAAAAGTGCTCAAAAAATATTTGGTCACAAACAAAATTTAATCAGATTAATTTAATATCCTATAGGATATTGTATATTGTATTGTAGTGTATACACTTTATTATTTTTTTATGGAAAAAAGTAATATAATTTTTAATAAATAAAGGAGAACAAACAATTATGAGATAAGAAATCCAATCTGATATTAATATCTATATAATTTTTTTCCCCCACCACTTTCTTTTCCATTGAAAACCAATTTTTCTCAGTACTTAAAAGCAAAGTCGGTTTGAAGGGGGTTCTGGGAATAAAAGTGGGTAAATCCACTGGGAGAGCTCCTCAATCCCGGGAATAATGACAAAGCAACTGCCTCCACGGCGGAGGAAGAAGAAGAAGTAGAGGAGATGTGTGCTTTATGGGAGGTCAGCTAAAAATGCATCATCATGAAATAAAATCAAGTGCATTTATTTAGCTCACAGGAAAAAATGGGAGGGAAAAAGGGGGTGCTGTTAGAAATGCCCCCTAAAAAACGCCCCTTTTAACAGCTGCCATGTGAGTGGGCGTTTGGAGGCGGTTGAAGGCGTGGGGGCGTGGCAAGATGAATGATTCAGGCGAATGGCCGCCGTATGTTACACAGTTTCGACTTCCATTTAGTTGCCAGTTTAAATACACACGGGATGTGAGGGCCAAAAAATGTTTGGGCCTTCTTTTGTTCGAGGCAAGTCAAGGATATAAAAAGGATGTTTTTCGGTGGGTGGTGCAGTATTTTTTATGACCCCTCCATCTCCATCCCGCAAGAGAACTTTCAATGGCTGCTGCGAAGGCAGCGACTTTATGCCTGATGGATGGACACTTTGAAAGAAGTGAAATGTGGCTTAGGCCTTGAGAAGGTTTTCAGCTGCAGCAACATTAAATTGAAGCGAAAACGCCAACGGAAGCTGAAGTGTGCAAAATAGAAAAGGAATTTGCTGAAAAGGTTTTTGAACGTTTGACAGCGAATCTTTGAATGGAAAACTACAGGAGGCGATCTTAAGGATCGTTAAGAAAATGTACAACAATTTAAGATATTTTGGACGGAGAAATAGTAAAGAAAAAATTATATTCACATCCATGGAGTCAATACATTTTTTCTCAATTTTTTAATATTTAAAAAAATATTTTATAAATTTTTTATGAAAAAGTATTAAAATATTTGTAAAAAAAATTAAAATATTTACGAATAACATTAAAAAATCTATTTAAAATATTTATACAACAAAACTAAAAGAAGTTAATAGAAATTTATAGAAACGAAACACTTAAAAATACCCATTTATTCTTTTGAAGATCCATTCGAAAATTAATTTTAATTTTTTGTGAGAAGATGAAAAATTTTAAGTTTTATAAATTATAAATCTTAATTAAATAATTCGTATTTTTCTCAGGTGTCTTCGTTTCACTTAAAATTCCCCTATTTTCGCAGCTCTTTTTTCCTGCATTAACTATTTTCCACAACGTCTCTTTTATGTTTGGCCGACATTTATCTCCACTGACCTCCGGACAGAAATTGTAAACAAAATTTGCGCCATTAAGAAAATGAAATCAAGAATATTTTCATGAAGACCCGAAAGCTGGCATGTGTGAGCCATAAAATGGTAGACTGTCTCTGCGCCTGGGAAATTTGTTGTGTTCTCATATTTTTGCGTCGACTGCCGAAAAAACATTTTTGAGAATTATGGAAAGAAAGCAAAGGAATCTGAGTAGACAGAGCAAAATGCACAAACATGTGCTTAAAGGGGGGAAAAACAACGGGAAGAGCAACTTTTAGACACATGCAGTAATAAATGAAACAAATTAATTAAAAGTGTGCAACGGGTCGGCTGCGAAATAAATGAAAAGCGAGTGGAAAAGTTGTTCTCTCTCTTTTTTTTCAGATTTTTTCTATTGTTGTGTGCGGATGCGAATGCTGTTGCTCTCGAGGCATGATAAATTATGCAGCCATCACCTTATTTAAAATGAAGATTAATTTAAGTACTGCCAAATGCTTTTCCTCCTCCTCCTCCTGCAATTTTTCCAGACTTTTCACCCATTTTGAGAAATTGTTTGTGTGGCGAGCCAAACAAATGGCAAAGGATGTGATTCTCTGAGTGAGATTGCAAATGGATGTGAGGATTCTTTGGGGGAAGTGCAGGCAATGATATGCAAATCAGACATTATACAATAGAATATTTAACTACAAAGGCATTGTTGTTTGTTGCACATAGTTTCGCTTTGTCCCAATACGTTGGTTAACTCAATTATTAATGGATGCAGTGGTTGCATATTATTTTGTTTTTTTTTTCTATATTTTAAATTGCTAACGTTAGCTAACCATTCAAACTTTTGGCACCTGTCAAATAGGAAATATAATAAAATATATTTATTGCTTTGTGTCAATAGCCAATCAAATGAAATAAAAAGTGTTTATGTGAAAGGATTTAAAATGTTTTGGCAGCTGCAAATGTTTGTTCCACATTTAATCATGCAATTTATGAGTTCTGCCTGTTCAATATTAAAATCAAACACTTTACCCCTTTGAATTTAATGGATACAATTTTGGTTTAATTTATAAGTTTGTAAGTTTAAAAAGCTCTTCATTGCCTCATTAATATTTAATTTTGCTTTTTTTTCAGCAGTTTATATACAAAAAGTCATACAAAAATAAAATAACAGTCACTTAGATAAAATTAATTAACAAAATCGATTTATTTGGGGACTCCAAAATCGTTGACATGTGCAGTAATTGGTTTCACCTATTTTCCCCAACAAGAGAGGTTTTTATGCACCTGTCAGGAGTTTTAAAATCCTCCAGTAGGTGAAAAAGGAAATGCTCTTTGATAATATTATTCCACCATTTAAAATGTATTTTTTACAGCTATAAATTCCCCTAAAAAGTCATTAAATTATTTTATACAAGTTTTCATATTTTTACGAAAACACTTTACCACCAACTTATGACAACAATCTGTAAATAATATTCCCCCGTTTGAGTGCTCTTTGGACTTGTCAAAAGCCCCATAAAATCGATTTATTTAAGGCTATCCCGAAATTCGTTGACACGTGAAGTGAGTGGCTTCACCTATTCCCCATTGGTAAGGATGCATTTTGCACCTGACAGTGGAAATCCTGCGCTTTTTCCCCGCATTTTCCCGCGTTTCCCAGCTCAACCCACCGTGGAAATTGAATTCTCCGTAAATACCACGAAAATCTTGCTTCGGATTTCTTGTTTTTCTGTCCGTCTGTCTGATGATAACTTGCCGCCGGCTACGGCAGCTGGTGAATTTTACCAGGATGCGAGGATGCGAGGTTCGCAAGGATGTTTCGCCGGGGTTTTTGGGGACATGCCGCACGACGGCCCGGCCTACATAAATATGCATATGCTCCACAAACATTTGCCAAGTTGTATGCGATGGGTGGTGGTTTGCCCCGAAAATTCATGCGAAAACTGCTGACATTTTCGAAAATAAATGCAACGTCAGAAATATTGCACATGCATGCAAATACGCGTCAGGCGGCAGCGTGATAAATATACAAATCCCAGTCAGCTTTCGCCGGTTAGACATCCGTTTAATTGAGTCAACATAGCGTAGCTCAGCGGAAGATTCATGGGGAAGGAGGTGGATTCCCGAGGAGGATTCCTGAGGAGGAGCTGCAGAAAGGGGGCGTCAAATTAACGCTGTCAACTTTTCGCAGCGTGCACAGAAAACATTAAAAACTAATTTATGGATTTGCAAGCCAACTCCCGCGTTGATTTATGTACACTCAACGAATAGGAAGGAAAAACTAGAAGCCAAAGTTGGGCAAAGAACAAATATTAAAAGTCCATTTGGCAGTCACGTTTTCTACTTCTGATAAATGAATTCAAAATGCTCCCTTTACTTAGCCAACTTTTTGGGACAAATTATGCGTTTTGAATTTTACAACTTTTTAATTTTTGTTTTAATAATTAAATGTTATTTAAATATATTTATATTGTTAAATATTTATTTCGGTACAACTTTTAATTTTGATTTGAATATTATAAATTTTAAACAGCTTTATGATTATTTTGATGGCAAAAATGTTTTAGGTCATAATTTTAAGTTTTTTGTTTAAATATGAATTGAAAGAAATAAATTGCTGATAAATTAATGAATTAAAATTCAATTCGCATTTTTAGCTTTCATAACATGAAAAACCTTTTAAAAATGTTCATAGAATTTTAAATGTAACTTTACTTTTTGGTTTAAAGTTTTACGATATTAATAGATAATAGATATTAATATTAAGTTGGATTCCTAAGAAATTTTCGGGATATATTTTTCTTTATTTACATTTTTATGTGAAGACCTCCTCCCGAAGCTAATGGATTACTTACAGCGTTTGGGTATCCTGGGGCACTTTGGGCACGGCGTTGAGTTTGGCGCGGATGCAGCGCACGGTTCGCTCCAGGCAGTTGCATCCGGTGGGGCAGTAGGCGGACTGGACTCCTCCGGAATAGAGGAGGACCAGGCCGAGCAGCTGCAGCAGGAGCAGCGGATATCGCATTTCGAGGGCAGTCAAAACTCACGCACTTCTCACCAAAATGGATATTATTATTATTTCAAGAACTGTTCAAGGCAAAACAACGTCGCGACGATAATCGCCTTCCACGGGCGGAAGTTTCAACCACTCGCTTATCCACTGGCTGTTTATCACCGAATGTGGTCCCTAAAACACTGTGTTCTCCAGTGCGGCTTACATATCGCACACAAAACTCACACAGCTACACAAAGAGAAAGCCAAGAGATATCAGTTGGTATCGTAAATAATTTGATCTGATTTAGCATGAAGTCCTATTAAACTTGAAAATATTTTGATGTGCTCCGATAATGTGTTAAAGGTCATTAATTTATTTTAAGACATTTTTAAGATTTTATATGTAATTAAATAATAACTATTTAAAAAAATCACTGTTTTTGCCACATTTGTAATAAATGTGTATTAAAAAAAAATCCAGTTTATGAAACTAATTTTTGGGATATTTGAAAAAGCAATTTAAATAATCATGATAAAGGTTTTTTACTAATAAAAGTATAAGTGTTGCCTTGATCATTATTTATGCTATGATACATTTTTAATTTTTTAAATATTTGAATAAAGATCTAAACAGAATAGGAAATATGAAATTAAAGTTATATTTTTAAATTTTTCACAGGTTTAAATTTAATTATTAAAAGTAAAGTTGTTGTTTTTAAGCAGTAACATTTTTTAAGTATTTTTGATTAACGTCTGGCAAAGTTATGTATAAAAAATATTTTTAAGATTATTTGTATTGCATTTAAAAATTCACTGGTATTTTGATTTGAGTTCACAAAATTTGAAAATGTCTTCTCTTATTTGCTTTGAAAAATTACCAAAAAATGTCAACGATTTAACTGATATTTTCTCTCAGGGCCTCCGCGAAATGTTTAATTTTAGAACGCTATTTTGTTATTAAACGAGTCCGGGGAATTTCCGAATTTTCGACCGAGTGAAGTGAACTGCACGCGCCAAATGCCGACTAGCATCTGAGCGCCGAGGAACTGAAAACTGAAAAGCGGAATATGAACCGAGTCGCCGAGTTGCACTTCGGCAGAGGCGGAGGCAGAATCACAGGCGGCAGCAGGGGCAGAGGACTCCGTGCCGGATGCAGACTGTGATAACATTTTCCTGAGGCTGAGGCACTGGGTTCTTTGGGTTCTCAAGAGTTCTCGATATTAGTTGGCCGGCAGCATGTGATTTTTAAGCCTATATGAGGCCTGCATGGGACGGATGGATGGCGCTATATCCCATATGGTATATACTATATACTACCTATATCGCATATCGTATCAAGGCCGAAACACTTGTGTGTTGCACCGGCATTTTCAATGTATTTTCAATGCGGACGCAAAGCGAGCAAAACAAAACACAACAAGCATACGCCACGTTGCACTTGCACAGCATCAAATGCTCTGCCATCCTCATTTTTAATGCATGAGTGGGGTGGCGGTCCTTCATCCCTCATCCCTGCTACACTCCATTTGTTTTTCTATCCATAGAGCGGTGAGGGGAGGGGGGTTCCGATAGGGGGCGTGAAGTCATAGAGGGTCTCTGCACATCCGAAACTGCTCGCTTAAGCGGTCGGTGATAAGACGCGAAATCAAATTTAAAAGCTATCAATTTGATATTAGTTCGGGGACCGGCGAAAACCCTTTGGGGGGGAGCGAAGCGCATTCAAAGCGTGCCAGAATGCAGAAAACGGAGTTTCATTTTTGTTTCCGAGCGGGATTCCCCCACAGAGAAAGAATAATAGAAGATATTTTAAATATTTTACATACTAAAAGCTTTCGATTTTATATTGATGTTTGATAAGCGTAATTTGGTTAATTAAAAAGCATTTATTATGTAGATAATATTATGCATTATAGATCATATATGAAGAGATATCACATCTTGTGTATTACAATTTATGGATTTATATTAATGTATTAAAATATAGGTACATATTGTTTTTATAAAAATATAACTTTATTTTTGTATGCAAACAGATTTAAATTGTTATATTTTTGGTTTTCCATTTATATTTTTAATACATTTCTACAAATATTTTTAGGTATATGGAAAAAGTAAAATATAAATATAAGAATTTATGTTTATAGTAAAGGTTAAAGGATTTATGTAATCTAGTAATTTTTCAGAATAAATAAATCAATTTTTGTCACTGTATCCTATTTGTTTTTTTTTCGAACATATGCTGCAGCTCATAAAATTTCTCCGTTTTGCTGCAGTTTTCATTTTGCCTCTATTTTTCGGCAGCACTTTTTTGGTTAGCTGTCGAAGTTTTGAAATCAATTTGCAGATGATTTATTATGTTCCATAGGAGGAGGGGGGTCGGTAAAGGGGATCAAATGGGGAGGAAGCTGTGCATACGACATCGCAAAATGACGTTGATGAATGCCGCTGTGTATTGTTTTGCTGTCAGTTGCGATCAAATTTCTGTTTCGGGGCATCGAATTCCAGGTGAAGCGGAAAATTTGCAAGTTATGCGACAGTTTTATGCGCCCACTTTTTCGATTGGCCAAAAAAGGAAGCGAAAGGAAGTACAAATCTATTCGCAAATTGATTGCATGTCTGGGGAAAATAGATTTTCTCGAGGAATATTTCAGTTGGGCAGGGGAAACAAATTTATTTAATGATAAATTCAATGAATTTTTTTAGTTTTTGATACTTAAATTATTTTAATTTTCTTTTTTTTAATTTCGAACAATAAACCGTAACAATCAGTTCTTTTTGCCCATTATTTAATTTAATTTAAATTTTGGCGCCCCCGAAGCGCCAGTCCACAGGGTGTTTCAAAGCTGGTCTACAGGGTGCTTCCACTTTGGAAATAAACTTAAGAAGGTTCTATCGAATTATCGGCGCCATTTAACCATCTCTAGCACAGCTGTTGGTTATCGCTGTTATCGATAGCAAACAAACAATAAAAACATGGGCTTTAAAATAATAATAAAGCAAGCTTATATTTAAAATTTACAACTAATAGAATTGGACTTACTAAATATATTCATTATTCTTTGTACTCTCTGTGTTTTTACAAAAGTGTTGTTAAGGCGCGTTAGCCAACACAGTTCGATAAACAGATGTTTTTCGTTTGCCTTATCAAATAGAAATTGTATTTTTGCGAGCCGAAAAGTGCAATGTTTAGCAGCTGAATACTTACTGATATGTCCAAGCGCAACCAAATATCGTACGTTAAGCCGCAGGAACCGAGTTTTTTGAGGAAATTAAAGGAGGAGATTGGCTACAAAGAAGGACCCAGCATAGAAACCAAGGTGAGTTTTCTGGTTTCGAAAAGGGGGGAGAAATCTGTAATCCGGGCGGAATTGTAATGTAAATCCCGTAATAGCGCCAGCGTTTGGAGACCGACCAGGAGGATTACGATTCTGGGGAGGATTCCCGGCCGGAAAGGGAGGACGAACTGCCGCAGGTGGTGGTCCTCAAGCCAGGAGATCTCTCCGCCGAAGAGGCCAAAACGGAGAAACTGTTGGCCGCCAAAGGTCGGTACATACTTACGTACATACATATCTACGTAATACATACTTACACGCTCGCACACATACAGACATACATACAAACAGCCAGCGGCAGTTGCACGTGTGTGCGTAGGTAGGATGTTGTAGTTTGTCTTTCAGTTTAACTTTTCAGTCAGAATCGAGCGGTTGTCTTCTTCTGCCCAGCGTTACATATATCCAATAGATATACATATGTACGTTTGTATATATGTGCGCGCGTGTGTTTGTGCATTTTTGCCAATGAAAATATAACGGTAGTGCATGAACAGCCGTTTTTTTGCAAAAAGTAGGTGTGTTTTTTTTGAAAGGCTGCTTAAATTTCCCTTTTTTTTAAAGCCCCCGTTGCCATGGTAATCGAAGTAATTTCCGTCCCAAAGATTCCCTTTTTTGCCCAGCGGAGCACCCCTCACACAGACACACTCACACACACACACATAGAACAGCTAGCCGACGAGGCATACACACTGACATTTTCATTGGGGGCTCCGCTAAAGCAAAACATGTGATGAAAATCGTTGGCAAAGCGGGCGGGCCGATAAAGCAGCCGGCAAAGAAGTTAACAACAGCTGCCGCTCTTCCGCTCCCCCCCCCCTGCTCCCTCCGCCCCTGCAGAAAATCGGGTGAAAACAACGTGGGCAAGAACGAACGGATGAAGGAGGAGGCCAAAGCGGAGAGACAATGATGAACGAAGCAGAAGCAGGCGAGCAGAGAGAAAAAGAGCGGGCCAAAGTGGCTTGACGACGTGGTGGAGGCGAGGGAGGAGGAAGAGGGGGTGAGGGGGAGGTGAAGGGGCGGATGAGGAGGCAGTGGCGGGGGCGGCGGAGCAGCGGGGGCGGGTTGCGAATCAGTTGGTGGAGCAGCAGGAGGAGGAGCGGCGGAGGCGGCGGGGATTTACCAGGGCCGAGAAAAACATCTTGTGGGTGCTGCTTGGAAAAAGGGGGGGCTAAAGAGGGGCTAGGGGGGTTCAGTGGGTGGTCTGTTCTGATTTTCCAACCTTCGTCATGCTGCAATTTTTCAAACCCAGATACATTTTTCGATCTGTTAAATCGTTAGAAAAACCAAATACTCCACACTTCTCTTTTTATTGAATCTAAAAAAAAAAATAGATTATAAATATTTAAGATAATTTAATTTGTTAAAATTTTTGAATCCATTTTCTGAACCAATTAATAAGTGAAAGCATCTTAATCAGCATGAACTTTCGTTTTCATAACACTTTATGCTATTCTAAAGCCCAGAAACATTATCAGATCGAATAATGTACCAAGTTCAATGCAAACAACCTTATAACAAAATATAGAATATTAAAAGATTTACAATTTCAAATCGATTAATCCTTTATTATGCTTAAAAACGTTAAGATACTTTCAACACATCTCCAAATAATACATCTTCAGTATAGAATGATCACTGACATGACAAGATAATGTCAATGAACTTTGTAAAAATTCTCAATTATTCATTTAGAAATATTGTAAGTTCTCCAAGCTTTTACTAATTACCTTTTTCCATCTTCTCCAGAATTAGCCGAAAAGCGTGCGGATCTGACCCAGCCCATAGTCTTCAAGCAGCGTGTCAAGCAGACAAATTTCGAGGAAGATAAGTCGCCCTCCGGAAGCAACAAGAAGTCGGAGAAATCCGGAAAGAAATCAGAGAAATCAAAGAGCAAGAAATCCAAGGCCGCCAGCAGTAAGCTGTCCTTCAACGAGGACGAAGAGGACGAGACGGCCGAGGATTGAAGATTATTCGGCCATAACTTCCACTAGCCAAGTTAACCCGCAGCGAATGATTAAGGTGAGAGATTTAGGGCAAAAACTGTAAATGATTGTTAACTTAGCTTCTAGTTTTTCTTTGTTGCCATGTGAATTTTGTAGGTTAAATATCGAGTTTTGCATGTGTATAGTATCAGTAGCCAAGTCAGAGTGACGCAGCCATTATGTTAAACAAAGGTTTTAGATTTTGCATCATAATTTCACCGAAAAAGTTCTGAGTCTTGCAGTAATTTTGTTATTTTTAAAAGCTGGACTGCCCGTTATATTTCACATTTAAGTCCAAATTACATTGTATAATTTTAATCTGAATCTTGTATATGTCTCTATTTTATATACATTTTACTGTACTACCTATTAATGCTTACGAAAAAGAAATAATTTTCTTACTAATCATAGATAATTATTGAAACTTTTAAATAAATCTATGAGATATTAGATCACTATAAATTTTAGACATCAAAAATGCATAAATACTCCTACATTAATCCTACTGTTTTTCAAACAGATAAAATAGTATTTTCAAGCATTAAAACATTTTTTAAAAATCTTATTTGACTTCTTAAATTAATTGCCAATTTACATAATCAAGATAGTCAGAGAAAATTGAGAAATCGCTTTAAACTAATCCTACTTTGATGCCACTTTTTGTTTAAAATACATTATTGACTCATTTTGAATCTCTATTATTTTGCAAAGTATACATTTATCGTTAGTCATACAAATTGGCACAATATTCTTTTAGTGAGTCACGCCCTAATATCTTTATGCAATTTCATACAAATTGCTTTGTTCTTTTTTTTATGTAAATAAGTTTGATTCCGAATCTGGATTTTACCCAAACTTGTAATTAAATGGTTTTAACAATTATTAATTTTTGTATTAATAATTGTAATGCAATTGGAAATTTAAAAAAATTTATATTAAAAAAAATAAATAAGATTAAATCAATAATTTGATTACCTAAATAATTATTATTTACTTCAAAATAAATTAAGTACAGATCATTTAAATTAATCCAATTTAAAAAATTATTGACATCTTAAAAATAATATTGTTTTTTAGATGTTTTACCAAACCTAAAATTGGCAAATTTACTTTCGATCAAACTTGATGAAAATGTATCTTTAGGTTAGTTCTAAATACCTAGGATCCAAATTTCGGACTTATCGGCTATCTTTTAATTTCATGCCCAAGTTGGTAATTACATCTCAATTTCACGATCAAACTCATTAAATATGTATCTATTTATCTTTAGTTTCGTTCCGATAGACCATCTTTTAAAGATTTTTAAACCGAACCGTCGCAGTAATTTTCGCCCAACTTTTCAATCTGAAATATGAATTGGCTAATTTACTTGATATCGAAAAAGGTCACGTGTATGTATAACATAAAGTGCGGCGATAGTTGGGTTCCCTGGGTTTGGGTTTGGGGGTCGGGGGTCTTTAATGGGGATTGGTTAGGTCACTTACTCCTCCTTACTCCTCCCGGATGCCCTTCGACCTCTACAGACCGATTCGATGATGATGATCGAGGGGGGTGGGGCGGGAAAGGGAAGGGGATGGAAAATGCGCCACAAGCGGGTTACTTTCAAATTTTGTACTTGCATATAGACCAAATCGCACAGACATACACACACACCTACAGACTTACTTACATACAGAGCCTTACATACGGACATACATATTTAGTTGTATGTATACATATAGATAGGTATGTACGGTTGTATATATGCCGGTGGCCGTGGGTGCGAAAGAGAGGGGCAGCGTAATCTGAAATAAGTTGGAGGAGAAAGAAGAAGCATCAGCAAAAGTATCGTGATGAGTATACAGTTTAAGACGCTAGTATGGGTTAGTATGTGTGCGAGTGTGTGTGTGTGGGGGGCGAGGGGGCCGGGCGGCGGGATAGCTGCAATTTGCCATATTCATTTGCGATATTTAAAAGCCATTTACGAATTTTTGCGCGCGCTCTATTTGAATTTCTGCACATGCCGATTCGCATAAATCCATCAAAGTAAAACCGGCGACAGCAATGCCGTTTCAGTTTTGTTTTGTTCATTTCGTTCGTGGCGCGCGTACAATTGTCAAATTTGTTTTCCCTCCCATTCCACGCCGTTCCATTCATGCACACACACACACGCAGTCCTGGGCACATGTGTGCGGGCCATGCGCCTCACACGGTTATTCGCTATTTTAGAGAGGCCATTGAGAGAGAGCTCTCTCTTTCTCAGCCGGCAAAGTAAATGTTTTTGCGGTTTTCTTGTAACGAAAAATAGGCAAAAATGTAATTAAATGCATGTAATTAATTGCCAATTCGGCAATCGCCAGGCGTTATCGATGACCGATAGTCGATAGCCGATTAGGTTGTGCAACCCTGCGCGCGACCCGGCTGTTCGTTGCAACTCTGTTTTTGCTTTTTCGCCTCACACATTTCCAGTTTGCCTTGTCTGCTTGTTCGTTCGCTCGTCTCTTGTGTCTCCGCCTTCGGCGTTCTTTCCACTCAGTTTTTTTCTCCAACAAAAAAAACCCCACGCAAAATTTTCGAATTTTCCCCGTGTTTTTTCGCCACGAAAACGATCCTAGATTTTTCGGCCAGTATTTATTTTGTTTATTGTGATCAAGGGAGCAAAAGGGAGGCGAAACAAAACAACAACCTGCCGAGTGTGAGGGAAAATGTGAATGTAAGTGGCGGCTGGGGAAAAAACAAACAATGCGAAAAAGCTGTAGGAAAATGTTTTCACTAGTTTGAATAAAAAGTATAATTTTAAAAGTAAGGTGAGATCCAACATAGAAGCAGAAAAACACACACACAAACGCAATCAAGCGCCGCACACACACACACAGACAAACACTAGCGCAAAAACACGCTCCTGTACCAAAAAAGTACAACAACAACAACGGTAGTATACTCCACCACGCCGCCAGCCGAGCAACAAAAACAACTAAAAAAAAAAGCTAAAGCCAAACGTCGTCATCCGTGCCGCCCCCCGCCCTCCGTCCCTGCCCCTTTCCTTCCATACAAACAAACGTACATATATATATTTATATGCCGTTGTATATATAGATTTGTATGTGCTAGCGTTGTGTGTGCGTTTGTGTCTGTATGTATGTCAATCGTTTTGTTGGCTCTGCTCGGTAACTGTTCGTTTGTACATACAAACATTTCATATAAACATATAAATATATATAAGTTTCCATACTTGTATGTATGTATAGTATATAGGTAACTTACATATATATCGGCAAACAATAACTCCCTTGCCCTTTCCTAGTTTTTCTCGCAGTGTAAATCCATTTACATACTTACATTACATATTAAATTGTATTTTAGTTTTAATCCAATATGGCAGCCATTTTGTATTAAACCATTCTTTGAACTTCCCCTTCCTCCTCTTTCCCTTCTTTTGTTGTTGTTGTTGCTGGCCCGCCTTTTATTTGAATTCACCTTTTTAATTCACCTAGATTTTCAAATATTTTTCGGTGATTGTTAATTTTTTTTTCGTCTCTTGTTCTTCTTGTTCCGCAGCCCCTTTCTCGCCCTCCTCTTTCTGCAGTTTTAGCTCTTTTTATTTTTACTCTTTGCCCGCTGCGCTTTGTGCTGCTCATTCGTTGCTTTTTGATACTTTAGTTTTCTTTTACGTGCCAATTTTTCCGGTTGGTCTAAAGAAGAGCTCCCCATTAAAATTTGTTTCGAAAACCCAATTTATAAGAAAGAGATCCTAAAACTAAGTTTTTCCATTTCCATATGATTTCTTGCAGAAACACAAACAGCTGGAAGATAAACCGACTTGGGCACATTCCACGGAGCAGAGAACGGACCTCAAATGACTGAAGTCGATGTCGTTTTGCCGGAGGGCGTGGCCGAGCCCACGACAAAGCTTGCCAGCGCATCAAGTTCCCCCAAACAGTCCAAAAACAGTCCAGATGACGATGATGAAAAGTGTGAAAAGCGAGTGGTGGCCACAGAGAAGCTAGCGGAGGAGGAGGAGGAGGAGGTCAAAGAACAGGAGAAACCGCCTTCCAAGGAGAAACTTCAGCTCGACAAGGACATCGCCAAAGAGGATGTGGCCCAGGCCTCTCCACAAGCTCCTCCTCCAGCGCCCGAGGAGGAGATAATGGAGGTGGACGAGAGCGAGGAGAACGAGGTGGAGGAGCATGATGACGAGGACTCACAGATCACCAGCACAAGCAGCTCCAAGGAGCCCAAGCTGGACGAAGAAGAGGAGGAGGAGGAGGAGCAGCAGGAGGAGGAGGAGGCCACCACAAATGGAGACGGAGATCATGAGCCGGAGGAGGAGGATGAGGCCGAGAAGATCGGCAGCACGGCGGAGAACAGCTGCGAGGCCGAGGATCCCCTGGGAGCGGCGACAGTCCAGGAGGAAGACCTCGTCAGCGGGAAGAAGCCACAAGCAGATGGCGAGGAGAGCCTGCCCAGCGAAGCAGAGGAGCCCAAGAAGCAGGAGAATGGCTTTGCCAGCAGCCCGAAGCAAAAGGAGAATGGTCAGGCCAGTTTAGCAGAGGCCAAGGCGGCTGCTGCCTCCTCCGATGGAGGAGCAGTGGTCAACCTGGACGAGGACAGTGACGAGGAAATGGAGGAGGAGCCGGCCAAGCCCACCGAGACGGCAGCCAAACCGGCCTCCTCCTCCGCCAGCGGTGGCGAATCCTCCGACGATGCTGTGCTGATAGCTTCCGATTCGGATACAGAGTCACCAGCTCCACCGCCGCCAGCTAAGAAACTCAATCCAGTAGTTAAGGCCACGCCGCCGCCGCCAATGCAGGAAGATGATGACGATGACGACGACGATGACTGCGTCGTGATTGAGGATGACACACCGCCAAGTATTTCACCCAGCGGCAAGCGCAAGAGCGACCTGGATGACCTGCAGCTGCAGCCGAGCCACAAGAGGCAGCGCAGTTCGACGCCCTCGGGAATGGGACAGCTGACGATCAAGGATGCCCGCTCCCTGATGCCACACGATGGTAGCTCGACAGGCTCGGGACCACGGGATAACATCTATCCGGTGACCATAACGAATGCTGTGACGGGAGCGGCCACCAATCTGGGTGTTGTGCCACCCAAACTGGTTCCCATGAGCGTGAACCCCGTGCAGCTGAATCCCCCAACGCTATCGCTCACCGGAGGACTGCCCAGCATGACCAACAATGCTAATCTGCTGCCCGGTTTAACCGACGACATGTTCGTCCTGGAGGCGCCCTCCTTCATTGTGCCCTACATCTACGAGAAGCCGCCGCACGAGAACATTTGCGAGGTGGTCAAGGCCATTGAGACCAAGTATGCGCTGTCCGCCGAGGATTTGGCCGAGGCGGACAAGGGCGACGAGTTCGACATGATGACGGAGCAGAACAAGGAGGACAAGCCAGCGGATCAAGCGGCGTCCTCTTCTGCAGATGGCAAGAAGAAAAAGAAAAAGCGCGGCGACGACGAATCCTGGTCGGAGCAGTCGGACGATGATGATGACGAAGACGATGACGACGATTCGGAGTCGGGCATGCGCACCAAGGTGCTGATCAAGGAGGCCAACGACGACCTGAGTGCCCTCAAAGTGGCCATCAAACCCGCCGCCGCCTTGGCCACAGCGGGCGGAGTGGCTTTAAATAACCCCGGTGGCAGTAAGCCAGGTCAGGAGAACTATTTCGAGAGTCCCTTGGGCAAGTTCTTCATGGACATTGGCGTGGGTCTCGTCCAGGAATACGTTCAGGCGGATCTCCTGCGTCTGCAGAAGCGCAAGATGCGCAAGGCACAGGTGCAAAATTCCAAGGAATTCGAGATGGCCATCAATGCGCTGTCCGGCAATCTGCAGGCCTCGAAAACGAAAAACGCACCCTTCAAGTTCCGCATGAAGCGCTGCGAGTTCTGCAACTTCAAGTCCGAGTCCGCCATGGCGATGGCCAATCACTACGAGACGCCGCACATGAACGGAGTGCTGTACAAGTGCAATTTCTGCACCTTCGAGATCCGCAATGCCACGGAAATTGTCTACCACATGGAGGCGGTGCATAATATTAAGGCGCGCCTGATAAAGCCACTGCCCTACCATCAGTGTCCCAACTGTGGGTTCGAGGACAACGGCAAGGCGAAGCTGGCGCGCCATCAGCCCGTGTGCGCCAAGAAGTTCCGGCCGGAGTTGAACTTGGCGCCGCCAAACGACTGGGAGGCACCGGCCAAGATACCGCGCATCAAGCCGCGTCACGGTCTTGTGGGCACCGCCACCGCCTATCAGGTGGGTTTCTTTAATGAATTCTGTTGAGATTTGTATTTTAATCTTAATCTTAATCTCTTTCAGGCCATGGCCGCGCAGGCGGCGGCACAAAAGGCCGCTCTGGCCAACATCCAACAGCAGCAGGCGGCGGCGCAGGCCAGGAATAATCTGCAGGCAGCCGCGTTAGCCGCCCAGAATGCGGCCAAGATGCGACAGCGAGCCCCGCAGCCGCCCAAACAGAATATGGTGCGCAATCCGGCGCCCGTGCGAGGAGGCAACTCGATGAATGCGGGTCTCTCGTTGCCCAACAGCTACCAGCTGGCTGCCGGTCAGCTTGTCCAGGTGAGCTAAGTTGTTAGTCTACAACGTTTTATTTATTTGTAATTATTTAAATGCTAAAACTTAAATTAAAATTGATAAAACTATCTATATTGTTAAAAATACTTCATTATTTTCTGTTATTTTTCATTTTCTACATAGGTTAAGGATCTTTAAAACTTGTTTTTTATTTTCATATTTTTTTAATAACATTAATTCTAATGAAGTTATATTTGTTTGTTATTATTTAAATGCTAAAACTTAAATTTAAATTGATAAAACTATCTATATTGATAAAAATACTTTATTATTTTCTGTTATTTTTCATTTTCCACTTAAGTGAAGGATCTTTAAAACTTGTTTTTTATTTTCATATTTTTTTAATAACATTCATTCTCAGAATAATTCTGCATTTAGTCATTCATTAATTTTTGCATCATATTATTTTTCCATTATTCATCTTAAATACATTTCCGTCAGTCTTTTGTTTTCTATACCTTAAGTATTTTGAATTAAAATTCCTTCCTTTGTATTGGTATATCAACATCTACATTGTAGTTACCTCTTACAAACCGGTTTTAATCGAATAACTATTTATTAAAGCAGGCCTCCAAGAAGCCAATGGCCGGACAGCCCAGCATCTCGATAACGCCATTACCTCGACAGAGCTCGGTGGGCGCCGGAGCGGGTGCGTCGTCCAGCAAGGCGCCCCAGGCGGCTGCAGGGATGAAGCCCGGCCAGAGTCCCAGCGGCAACAACAAGGCGCAGTTTGTCATCTGCGAGATCTGCGATGGCTACATTAAGGATCTGGAGCAGCTGCGCAACCACATGCAATGGATGCACAAAGTGAAGGTACAGCTGAGTTTCAATTTATCCCGATTTTCTACATTACTAATGAAAATAAATTTTTAAAACAGATTCATCCCAAGATGATCTACAATAGGCCACCATTGAATTGCCAAAAGTGTCAATTCCGGTTCTTTACGGATCAGGGATTGGAGCGGCACTTGCTGGGCTCACATGGCTTGGTCACAAGCTCCATGCAGGAGGCTGCCAATAAGGGCAAGGATGCCGGACGCTGTCCAGTTTGTGGAAGGGTAAATAAGACTCATTAATATTTCAATTGAAGGAGCCATTTTTAATCACCTGTATTTTCCCCTCCAGATGTACCAATGGAAGTTGCTGAATCACGTGTCGCGCGATCACCACATGACCCTGAAGCCCGCCCATCTGTCCTACAAGTGCACCGTCTGCACGGCGACCTTCGGCATGTACAAACAGTTCGAGACGCACGTGTACACCGCCCACAGTACCGTGGCCAGGAAGGCGATGGACAGCAAGAAGAACAGCGCGCAGTCCAGCGGGTCGGGATCCGGAGCAGGGATGTCGCGCAGTTCGTTGGGAGCGGCCAACGACTCGCTGCTAAAGCCGCTTAAGATCAACGATGAGATCACCATCATACCACAGCCCGCATCGAAGCCACGCATCACAAATATGGAGAGTCATGTCATAGGTACGTGATTTTCTAAATCAAAAACAATTGTAGAACATTTTAGGCTGTTTAAACACTATAAACTTTTTCTTTTAATGATGTAAAAATACTTCTAAAAAATACCAATTAATATTTTGTTTGGTCAAAACTAATATGTATCTGATTTGTAATCTTTTGTTGATTATTTCTATTTAAAATCGGTCAAAGTAAGCAACTTTTCTTACAAAGTTAAATCATATAACCTATAAAAATAGTTATATTTATGACAAAGCAGCTTGGAATTTTCTAATGATTAGTATTATCTTTAAAAATGTTCTGGCTGGCATTTCCCATAATGGACGTCTATTTATAAATTTTTTTTTATCTTTGCAGATTAAAATGAGCGTGTTGGATCAACCAAAAACCTAATCTCGCAAAAGTTTGCAGCATTGACAGCGCTTTAACATTAGTTTTGTTTTTAAGCCGAACGCGACCTTGCCGCCCAAGGTCACGCCCTTTTACTACTGTAAGTCGAATTGTATAAAGAGCAAGATTATAAAAGGAAACTGAAGCGGATAAGGAAGAGAAAAAGGAGGAGCAGAGTGGAAGGCCGGAGTGTGTTGACCACCTGACCTGTGACCCCTGACTAAACTAGAGTAGCCCGTATTTTGCTGCGGTTTAATCACAAACAACCAACCAACACATCCAGCTACAGGATACGCGATACACACATAACGCTAACGGCATAGATACAGATAGAGATACTAGTTACGGATTTTAGTTACATACGTTTTTGGAGTGTGCACATAAGTTGAAGTTGTAGCTACTACTAAAATATACCACATACACCATACATATATATATTTAATAATTATATTTAAAGCATATTATGAAGAAGCCGCCAGAGCGCATCGTCAGCATGATGACTATGTAAATTAGTTAAAAACTAAACTATTTATACGAGAACTACGAGTATCCAAATGTGTGTTGCAGTATGTATATACATTTTGAATAGGTCCCTCTGCCCCCCAAAGTAATTGGCGTTCGGTTTCGCTTTCGTTTCGTTCTCCTCTCAAATCTTCTAGCTTATTTTTGCGCGTAGGCGAGAGAGTTACTCGAATCGAATCGAAACGAAACGAAGCGCACGGGGCAGAGGACTTTTCTACACTGATCTGAGAGACGTTCGACATTTTAATTTTTGTGTACAAGTTTAAACTTATATTTATATTACACATTATCTATTAATATTAAAGTATATATCATCTATTACCATCTAAGATCCCCCATGTACTACAGTTATAAAGCAAAAACAACCACACACAACCAACAACAAACCAACAAACTGAAAATGAGAAAATTAAAAACCTAGTTAATATAAAAAATGCCAAGATCATGGATGTGATTTTCATTGCACTTTTGATGAGAGGAGGAGGAGAAGGGTTCCAGACGGGCCTCTTAGTTTACCGATCCATCCGCCGACGTCAGAGGTGAGAAGTGATTGGAATGCTTTTAGCATTCGCCACTCACATGACTACGATGACCACCTCGCACCGACCGGAGACCAGATAACACCAGTTGGAAAGACAGACGCCTCATTTACCTAGCACTAATGCGAAATTTATTTTTACTTTACAATAGAAAAGTGAAATTCCAACCTTGTGATGTCCGGTTCTTCTTGTCGTCCAGTCTTTTCTAGCACTGTAGTTTTACTTAAGTAAGTAAGTCTGTGTTTGTGAAGCCATAAAACTAAGTATATCTATAGTATATTTATAGGTTGTATGGTTGTTTTGAGAGAGCAACGCACTGCATTACGATGAGAGAATCCTAATCCTCGGGCTCCGTCACCTCATTATCGGTGGCCGGATTGATGGGCACCGACTGGCCGATTTGCGACGATGGCGGAAACAACTGAGCAGCATGCGTGAGCTTGGCCAGCGCATCCTGATCCAGGATCTGTGGCTTATCGGCGGCACTGGTGTTGGAGCGGCTCAGCTGGTAGAAGGCGGTGTCGCTGTGCGTGATGTTCACAATGCTACCGGTGAGGGGCAGGGTCTCCAGCAATTCCTGGGGGCTGCTGAAGGCACCCAGATTGACGGGTGCAATTCCGGTCAGCACTTGGCCGGTGACGTTCGTCTGGATGGGTAGCGGAATGTTGCCCAGATCGATGTGGCTCTTGTTGCTGTGCGTGTCGTAGAAGGTCAGATCCACGCGCTCCTGGCTCTCGAAACTGGTGTCATTCTCGCCCACCTCCGTCAGGATGCCAATCTCATAGACCACCGCCTTGACCACATAGCTAAAAAAGAGGAAAATAAATCCGAAAACCAGTTAGAAACCTTTCTACGTGGTAAAAATATCTATTCAAAGTTTGATAATAACCAATTCTGGTTATTTCTAACTAACAAAAATCTATGTTTTGTGTTATTATAAGTAATTAACACTATTTTGGTGATGACGAAAAATCACAATAAATTAATATGCGTACTAAAAATGCTTTCAGCACTATTTTGTCTCCTTTCATAGGGTGTAAAGTCCATAATAACCTTATAAATAGAGTGTGTGTACCTAGTAAAATCAATTTTATAATTATGTTTATAAACTATGGTATTTAAATTATATTATAATGTTTAAATACTACATTCGGTTGTATGATACATTGTTTGTAATAGTATTTAATCCTATTAATCTGTACTAAGTAGTTATTTTTATAAATCTGCTATTAAAATTGCAAATGTTCTACAATATTTTATACTAAACTGTATACAATAGTATTGAATCCTCTAAACTTCTAATAAAACCCACAAAATAATTATTTTTCTAAATACTGATATTAAAATTCTATTATAATGTTTTAATGTTCTTCAATATTTGATATTAAATTGTTTATCATGGTATCAAATCCTATAAAACTCAAAGTTCTAAGACTAAACTATATTTTCTTTTCCAAAAATTGATTGAAATTAATATTATATCATTTGTGGCTTACAGATTCTTGGGCGTATCGTTGACGCTGGCCCTCAGCTCCTCGATGGTGGCGTTATCGATGCCCGAGCTGGCATCCAAGACGGGCAGGGAGGCTCCGATGGCCAACAGCATGCCGAGCACGGCGGCTCCAAACACAGCCTGGTGGACCTGCATCTTGGGACTTAGGCTTGGAGGCTTTTTTGGTGCTCAAGGAAGACGACGACGGCCTGTGCTGTGTAGCTCTGTGCTGGGATAGTGGCTCCGGTGCCTCGCCTGACTTTCGCGCGTTTAAAGTTAATTAGTGCAGATCGGAGCGCTTTTATAGCGACGGCCGTTGAGCTGGGAGCTTCGGCTGGCGAGGCGCGATTCCGCGTAATTATCGGCAACTGTTAATTGCCCGACAGGTTTGCCACTCTCCGGGGCCTCCAGTTCGCCAGTTCTCCAGTTTCTAGGCACTTGGCTTCCGTTTCGAACTGAAACTGGCGATTGTTTTTCGAGGGACTCTAATTAATTGCGCTCGTTTTGGGAGCGTGTCCCAGGGACTGTCCCCCAGACGAATCCCCACAAATATTGACCATTGGCTACTAAGGCTGCCTACGCAAATCTCAGGCTGATGTTTACTTCTCGGATGTGGCCAAAAATAAGTCCATAAACATTGCACCTCACGGGTGACGCATTTGTCGGGATTGGAGTATTGGGATTATTGCATGTGGCCTGGACACGCGCCCGTGTATTCACATTACGCATACGCCCCGGCTGACGTAGGCATGTGCTTTGACCGCAAAATCTTCCAAATCTTTTGCATTTTAATATGCAATGTGAGAGTTATCTTCGCATCACATGCTAAGTTAATATTACGCATACGCCCGGTATGATAACAAAAGAAATATCATCAACCTTTGGAAGATCACTTTGTGCTAGAAACTAAAGATGGATTTCATTTCAATTTCTTCAAGCTTAATACAGTCAAACTTCAATGTGTAGAAACAATGGATTATTTTAAGTTATCTATGAATATAATATTTAAAGTTTTTTAGACATTTTTTTAAAATGGATTTTTGAAAAATATTTGTCTAGATGTTTTGAAACTTTGCGATTTTATAAAGTAATATATAAAGATATTAGAAATTAAAAATAGCCTGGTAAAAATTATATAAATCATAACTGAAATAATCTTTAAATAAATGAATTAGATAATTTTTTAAATATATATCACTATGGACGGCAGTCCATGTAGTGACGAAGCGCACCAGGAGAGTGTGCGAAGGCGACTACTATTATATAGCCGCAAAATTGAAAATCGGCAGTGATAGTCCGATCGTAATGAGTAATACACCAATCGAAAGGTATTGCAAAAACTTAAAGGATTGCATACCAAGACTTTAAGAAAATCAATTGGCTTGGGAGAGAGAGCGGTGAAAGTGAAAAATTGAAAATTTCGAAATTTGGAGCTGTTGGGGCCGGTGGGGATAAATGCCCCCTCGCAATGTTTTAGTTGTATTCCTCTTGAAAATACCCGTCGAATGAGGGGTCATTTGTCAAAATCCGACTCTCCGTTCAAAAGTTATAGCCAAAATAAGATTTTCTTCTTCTTCCCAAAATGAAAATTAATTTCTGTTTGTCCACTTGTCCACTTGTCCACTTGTCCACTTGTCCACTTGTCCAAAACATGTTTTTTAAGTTTTGAAAATTTTATATGACGTTCATCACATCGATATAAAAAACTTTTGTTCTACCACTTTTGGAAAAACTCGCTAGTTTAGCGGGAAAACAGCTATAAATAGCTAAAATTCGGAAAGCCGTAACTTCTATACTACTAAAGCTACAGACTTGTGCTGCATCTCGTTTGAAAGGTATTTTTAAATGCTATAAACGCCTTCTATATGCAATTTGTGTAAATGTAATAATTAAAAAAATATGAACAAAAGACAATTTTTTAAAACTTTTTTTTTAGCTTTTTTTATTTTTCTCAAAAACGGCTCTAACGATTTCCTTTAAAACCTTAAACTGTATAGCCCTTGAGATTCCTTAAATTTTGGTATATAACACATTACTGTAAAAAGTCACGTTTAAAAGTTATTTTTATACGAAAATAGCCACTTTTGCCAGCTCGAACAATTAACGCTCCCTGAGTATTGAATTTTGTGGGAGGGTATCCGAACTGTATTTTAGGGTCATAGAATCAGTAAATTTGCACTTAAGAGTTCCATATAGGAATCTTTTGTTCTACGACTTTTGGAAAAAGCCGCTACTTTAGCGGGAAAATAGCTAAAAATGGCTAAATTTCGTTAGTTTTTAAGTTCTACACTACTAAAGGTACAGACATGTGCTATACCTCGTTTAAAAGGTATTTTGAAATACTTCAACGCCTTTTTAACTTAATTCGTTAAAATACAATAGTTTAAAAATTATGATTTATGACCAATTTAAATTTAAATGTTTATATTAGCACCTATGAGAGCAAAAGTAAACAAACAAAAACTTCTGATATCAAATAAAAACACCTCTTAACGAGGTAAAAAACTAGTGACGATCGCACCTTCAACGTACAAAAGTTCTGATATCAACTTTTGTGACGAAAAATGATTTTAGATGCGACTAAATAAGTACGCTACCTAAAATTTATTCATTCGGCACGCTACAACAGAAAAACATTCGTGTAGATATTAAATATTTGCTAAAGCGGGCCGAACGAGTAAATTTTAGGTAGCGTACTTATTTAGTCGCATCTAAAATCATTTTTCGTCACAAAAGTTGATATCAGAACTTTTGTACGTTGAAGGTGCGATCGTCACTAGTTTTTTACCTCGTTAAGAGGTGTTTTTATTTGATATATTTGTAAGTTAAATTCAATTAAACAGGGTATGACGATTTTTAATAAATTTAACTGACACTTAGGAACTCGCAAAACTCCAAAATCTGTTAGATATATCATACAAATTCAGTCCCCTATTTCGAAATTCCGACTGTACCGAGAAAATGCTGACTCATAGCCAGAATTAGTGTTCAGATGTGGAGATATTGCGCACATCCCCCGCCTCATGCCCCATAAATCTGTAATCAAATTAAAAATTTTGAAGATTTTTATAACCCACCGGGTATACGAGTTATCCCACACTAGAGTTAACCGCCTAAAGCCGCCCAATCTCCGGCATAACCAGCCAGATCTTGACTTTCATTCATGACTGCCTGGATTCTTCGCTTTTTTTTTGGTTTGGATCTGCAGTCTTTCTCCGGCGAATCGAAGCGGCAGTAAACGTTTTGCGGTTTTTCGATATGGAGGCAAATATCGGTTTCCAGGCACGTTTCTTCAACAAGTTTTCACCTCAGCATTGGACCTTTTGTTTCAGCGGAAAATTTTCGAAATTAATTTGCACATTTCGCATATCAACTTTGTGCCCCGGTGATCTCATGGCGACCGCTCTAATTATGAAGTGTTAAAGAGGCGCAGTAGTAATTGTAATCCAAAGTGCAGTAAGTCCAAGGAATGCAGAAAATGAACTAATGATATGATATGGTATATGATACAAAATATCATATCTATCATAAATATTTTGCGGTTTATAGCGCGTGTTTTTCGAATGGACATGTTTTCTTTTTTTATACCAATTGTTTTGGCCTTTCAAAGTCTCCAGACTGCTTTTGTTTTTATTTTGATCGGCTTCTTGGAATTATATTTGGCGTTTGTTTTAGTAAATATATGTTAATTCCCACAATTAAGACAATCAACTTGGCTTTAACATCGGCGCTTTCAGATGAGTCTCAAAAACTCCTGGGTCATATAGCACATTTGAGACGCTCTCCAATTCGTAAATCCTTGGGATCACTATGGACGGCAGTCCATGTAGTGACGAAGCGCACCAGGAGAGTGTGCGAAGGCGACTACTATTATATAGCCGCAAAATTGAAAATCTGCTGTGATAGTCCGATCGTAATGAGTAATACACCAATCGAAAGGTATTGCAAAAACTTAAAGGATTGCATACCAAGACTTTAAGAAAATCAATTGGCTTGGGAGAGAGAGAGCGGTGAAAGTGAAAAAGTGAAAATTTCGAAATTTGGAGCTGTTGGGGCCGGTGGGGATAAATGCCCCCTCGCAATGTTTTAGTTGTATTCCTTTTGAAAATACCCGTCGAATGAGGGGTCATTTGTCAAAATCCGACGCTCCGTTCAAAAGTTATAGCCAAAATAAGATTTTCTTCTTCTTCCCAAAATGAAAATTTAATTCTGTTTGTCAGTTTGTCCACTTGTCCACTTGTCCACTTGTCCAAAATATGTTTTTTAAGTTCTGAAAATTTGATATGACGTTTATCACATCGATATAAAAAACTTTTGTTCTACCACTTTTGGAAAAACTCGCTAGTTTAGCGGGAAAACAGCTATAAATAGCTAAAATTCGGAAAACCGTAACTTCTATACTACTAAAGCTACAGACTTGTGCTGCATCTTGTTTGAAAGGTATTTTTAAATGCTATAAACTCCTTCTATATGCAATTTGTGTAAATGTAATAATTAAAAAGATATGAACAAAAGACAATTTTTTAAAACTTTTTTTTTAGCTTTTTTTTATTTTTCTCAAAAACGGCTCTAACGATTTCCTTGAAACCTTTAAACTGTATAGCCCTTGAGATTCCTTAAATTTTGGTATATAACACATTACTGTAAAAAGTCACGTTTAAAAGTTATTTTTATACGAAAATAGCCACTTTTGGCAGCTCGAACAACTAAAGCTTCTTGAGTATTGAATTTTGTGTGAGGGTATCCGAACTGTATTTTAGGGTCATGGAATCAGTAAATTTGCACTTAAGAGTTCCATATAGGAATCTTTTGTTCTACGACTTTTGGAAAAAGCCGCTACTTTAGCGGGAAAAAAGCTAAAAATGGCTAAATTTCGTTAGTTTGTAAGTTCTACACTACTAAAGGTACAGACATGTGCCATACCTCGTTTAAAAGGTATTTTGAAATACTTTTTAACTTAATTTGTTTAAATACAATGGCTTACAAATTATGATTGACCAATTTAAATTTAAATGTATATATTAGCTCCTATGAGAGCAAATGTAAACAAACAAAAACTTCTGATATCAAATAAAAACACCTCTTAACGAGGTAAAAAACTAGTGACGATCGCACCTTCAACATACAAAAGTTCTGATATCAACATTTGTGACGAAAAATTATTACACTCGTCATTAAATAGACTTTCTAATATTTTTTCATTCGGCACGCTGCAATAGAAAATGCCTGTGAAGGGAAAAAGGCTGGAATAGTCTGCTAGGGCGGGCCGAATGAGAAAATATTAGAAAGTCTATTTAATGACGAGTGTAATAATTTTTCGTCACAAATGTTGATATCAGAACTTTTGTATGTTGAAGGTGCGATCGTCACTAGTTTTTTACCTCGTTAAGAGGTGTTTTTATTTGATATATTTAAGTTTCAAACTAATTGATCTGAATTCGCAGAAAACTGAAGGCTTAAAATATTATCATTAATTAGGATTTTTGGTAGAAAATGGGTTCTTAAAAGGATATAAGGCTCCATATAAAATAAAACGTTTTATTTTTAATGATACTTAAACTGTATTATAAAAAAAGAATTGTATTTTTATTATAAGGAGAAACATTTAGATAACTCATTTCAGATAAGAACAGTGGAAACTTTAATAAATTTAATGTTCCTTGATTTTTTTACGTTTTTTTTTACAGTGTCGAATCTCAGGAGTTGGCCAACAAACAGAACACGAAGGAATAAAAAATAGAATAGGTTTGAGCCCAAACATCGAGGGAGTAGCACGCGCAGGCACCAAAACAAGTTCGGCAAACCAATCTGCTTTTAAGTGCTAACTGATCGTTATAATAAAGCTTAGCCGCAACTTTCGGTCGGCCGTTCATTCGGAAAACTTTAAAAACTCGCCGGCCACTGGGCCGTAAACTTATTTCCGATCTGAGCTTGGAGCCGAGCACAACGCATCCCAACCGGAATCAAACAAATCACCAGCAGCCAGTGGCCATGAAGTGCACTTTGCTAACCACCGTGAGTAGTGATATTTTCAGGGAATTATAGATGATATTATACTGGAAATATATAAGTGGTGTATCTGAAACTGATGTGATTTCGATTATTTAATAATCATTATTATGAAATAATCCAACTGTTTCTAATGATTCATAGAGATATTTTTAATTTTAATTGAAAAATTCAGTTAGGATCTCTTGAATTATTATAAAATCCCCTATTATTTCTTTCAGTTGCTGGCATCCCTGGCGGTTTGCTCCTTGGCCGCCCCCTTTGATTTGGGTGATCTCTTCTCGGGTTTCCAGCCGCTGGAGAAACAGGATGTGGTGAAGCGACAGGTGCAGGCCAATCCTGATGCCGAGCTGAAGCAGATCTCGTTTCATGGCCTGATTGGAGATCTGGAGGATAGTCTTTTCCAGTCTGCGTTGAGTCTTCACCAGGCTAGTGCCCCGGGCAGCGAAGTGGAGGAGGTGAAACCGGAATCCCAGGTGGCTATCGCAGAGGATGAGGAGCATGCTTTGACCAAGCGATCGGATGAGAGCACACCAGCCACAGATGCTGCGACATCCCCATCCTCCGATGACGGCCTGTCCCGCAAGATCCTGCTGCAGACCACCAGGAAGGTGCCGAATAGCGACGATGGTGTGCCCGCCCATCTGATCATCGATCATGTCTCGGTGCAGCCACACAATGGTGGTGCCCTGCCGCTCATACCCACCTTCCAGGTGCACCACACCAAGCTGATCTCGGCCACCATCAAGGAGGATTCGAGCAGCGACAGCAGTGATGGCAAGCAGACCAAGATTAGCATTACCAAGACCTCGATTACGTCCACGGCGCCCATTGAGAGTGTGGAGGAGGCGGTGGCTCTGGCTGGAGCTGCCACCAGTACCACCGAGGAAGCCTCTACCTCTAAGGCGGAGGAGAGCACCACTAAGGCAGCGGAGAAGGAGGAGGGCTCCACCACCATCTTGACCCTTGTGAGCAGCTCCTCTTCCTCCTCCAGCACTTCCACCACCACCACCACCACGGAGGAGCCCATCCAGAAGCTGAAGAAGGACGAGGAGAAGCTCAAGGAGAAGGTGGCCGAGGTGGAGGCCGATCCCGTCATCCTTTCGGCTCGCGTTTAAGCCAGTCGACCCCTTGAGCCCTCTAGTTGTAACCCACACTCTCATCCTCCTCATCCAACCGCCAATCTCACATATTTATGACACGCCAAGTTCAATTAAAGTCATGTGATTCGATCTGATGCGAAGCTTCTTTATTTGCATTTCAAATTCACACACAACGCGGGAATCTCTGCCAAATTTGAGGCTCTAATTGCTCGGATAAACAGAGGTCTTAATGAAGCTAGCGGTTCAGCCAGGCATGAACGATTCATTCCCAGAATCTCCGGCGGGAAAAACCTTATAGCTTACCTTATATGCAAATATTACTAACTGTATATATATTTTCACCAAGTGATCTTCAATTGGGTTAATTAAATATTGCCAAATTTCTGAAAACTATCCAATCAATGTGTTAATCAGCCTCGATGACCAACATCATTAGTCAACAAATTGCGAACCAATTGTTTGCTTTCTGATTATAAAATTGTGGTGAAAGCGGAATGAGGTTTTATTTGCCTTTGATAAAGTTAACTTCCTAAACAAAGTACATATATAAGCAATACCTTTTAAATCAACGACCTTGTATGCTTAAAATTGTCTTTGGAATAGATTATAAATTTTATATTATTTTAGGTGTGAATATATTTTTAATTGTTTGCCTATTTAAAAGAAATACGAAAAGGGAGTGTTTTTTTGGATCTCTTAAAATAAAATGCACCTTAATAAATAATATTTCTTTTAAGCAATATAATACTTATTTTAAAGTTTTTATCTGAAAGTTTAGTCTGTTAAAATGGCAATATGTGTATTTTTTTTTACTACTTCTTAATTGGTACTTTTTTACCTATTTCCAGAAGCATTTATAAAAAATGTTTACACCCCTGAGGTCATAAAAATGGTAGTTGATTCAATAATATTTTGAGGTGTGAATTATTTTTAATGGGTAACCTTAAATTTTTCATTATTTTTCAGAAGCATGTACAAAAAGTAAACATTGTTTATCAAAATAATTACCGTTGTTGTTGATTGTACATTTTTTAGGTGCTCTTTTAGGTGTATTATGAATCACCACGCGTGATAAAGAAATCCCCTTTACCCACACTCAATCACTTACAACTTCTAGAGGTGATAACCCCCTGAAAACACGAGCCAAAAAGCTGAGCGTCCAAATATCAAGTATACGCAAGGTGAGCGAGGGAAAATTGATAAGTGCGACAGAACTTGGCGTTCTGATAAACTCATCATCATCAGCTGTGAGTTTAAATTTAGTTCCTGCTAACTGGGCGCATGTACCTTTTATTTATTATTTACCCAAACTGGGGGCAGGTTCGCCTATATTTGCGCTCTGATATATCTATGTTTTCCGAATGATAAAGCTAAAAAGCTCGCTGATAAGGCGGGGGCATTCAATTTGTATTACAAAATAAGCAAAATATTTGCACATTGCTATTGTGCAATTGCGGGTAGTCAGAGCGATCCATGCTGGTGCTTTTGATAACAGGTGTAACCCTTAAAATTTCATTAGGTTTATCTTATCGCTTTTGAAAGAGCGAACGGAGCGTTTTGGAGACCCCCTATTCGATGGCCATTCGATGGAAGAGCTCAGTTCGAAGGAGGCAGCCGGCGGATTCACATTTTCCACCTCCAAAAAATAGAAAAAATCCCGCGAATTGAGTTTCATCGGTGAGATAACGATTTTTGTGATTTGGTGTATGTATTGTTTATGGCCAACATTGCGTATACTTTATTGAAGTGAAGTGAACTTAAGTGAAGTGACGACAACGTAATTTCCTTTTCGGTGATTCATCCAATCGAGAGATTAGACAGTAGTCCTCAAGTTTCGAATGTAGAAAATGGCCCAGGAATGATTGAGCTATCCCGATTTTCATATGCTAAATACCCCGAAAAAACTAATCAAGCTGATTAGATATCTCTCGCAATTGACGAATTGTAATTTCAAATTGAATTTATAGCCCCAAAGCGTGCGTTGTCTTATCGAGTAGGCAATTGGTTGGCCCAGCGATCACAGGTTGCACAACCCCCGGCTTTATAGTATAGAAGAACCTCATCAAGATGGCGAGCATGGGCACTGGGTTTTCCAAGTGCTTCATACTCTTCATGGCGATTGTCATACTCGTGAGTACCATAAAGATTATTTTAACATTCCTTTCGGAATAGTCGAACGATGGATTGATGGATGAATGTATTTTTCAGGTCCAGGGAGTCGCCTATTTGGGCCTGTCCATCTGGGGCATCACCTTCCGGGAGTGTCCGGATGGGGTTACTGACTTCAGCTCAAATCCCTTCAAGTATGCCATGGAACTAATCTACTTTGCACGTGAGTTACTTTGGGATCTTCGATCTTAGTACATACATATGTATCACAATTTGTAAAGGTAGTTCCAGATCAAAGAATATATATTTTAAACTTTTTCGATTTTCCTAAATTAAATCTTTAAAATATTATCTAATAATAAACTGATATGAAAAAGTAATATTTTCGAATGTTAAATCTGATAGATCTTTTTTTATAATAGTTTGATATTAAGAGCTCTAAGACTAAAATACCTCATTAAAAATATTTATTACAAAGAAAAAGTTTTAAATATAACTTTTCCGATTTATCTAAACTGCTACTAAAAAAATAATAAAAAAAAAGAAATAATCCATACCTTTAATTCTTATTAAACAGTTTGAAAAACTAATGTTTGAATCTGAAATATATTTTCTTATAATAAACTAATAAGATCTTTAAGATTAAAATACCACGTCTGATAAATAAATAACCTATTCTTTAAATTCCCATCAAACCATTTCGTAACAGAGCAGGACTGTGGTGATCCGGTGCTGAAGATAGACAAAGTAGAAGTGGATTTAAACATAGATTGGGGAAAGTCCTCCGCCATAACCGACAGGGAGTTCATCTTCATGATAACCTATGCTGTGATCAGTGGCCTCTGGGTGGCCACTTCGGTGTTGGTGATAAGTGAGTTTCTCCAGGGTCAAATATATATGGGATAGTAACTGAAGTTCCATTCCAGCCACTTTGTGCAATCGCACCACCAAACTGATCTCGGGAGTCGTCTACTGGCCCTGGTTTCTGTCCGTTCTGGCCGGCAGTATCCTCGATGTGGTGGCCTCGGTGTATCATGGACTCGACTTGAGTCATACAACGGTAGAGAACACTCATTATACATATATCATAATCTTTGTAAATTATAATCCAATCTTTTCTAGTCCATGCAAGAAGCACTTGATTACATTGGAGTGGCCTACAGTGATACCACCAGCGACATTTGGACCTTGATGGAGCCCTTTGGAGTCTACTTCTCGACGCCAGCAATTGTTCTTTTGTGCCTGACCAGTCGCGTGGCCATTATCTGGCTACTGAACATCATTGGCGCCAGCTTCTGTCTATCCCTGTCGGGCATAATGGCCCAGCAGAATGCCGCCAAGGCCGCTTTGACCAGCAGTCAGGCTCCCACTCGCCAGCCGACACCTCAGCCTGTGGTTGCGCCAATCCAGCCAGCTTTGGTCGAAACAATTCAGCCATCGGCTCCGCTAGAGAGCCCTCAGTATCCGGAACAGATCCTTCCCAAGCCGCTGCCCATTTTCGTTCCCTCGGAGCAGCAGCAGCAGCAGTTTGCACCCGGAGATCGCACCACTCTGCAGTCGCCGGTGATGGTGCTGCCACCGATTGTTCCACAGCAGCAGCAGCCGCGGGATGTAGTCTCGCCGCAGCCGGACATCAACACCTATCGCACCACCGAGGCTCATCCCGATCGCCTCAACTATCCGCCCTCGGAGCCATCAACACCGCGGGCTCCTTCGCCGGCTGTCCAACAACTGGCGGTCACTTCGCCCCTGAACAATCGCTACAGCGAGATGTATCCGGCTCCGGTTAATCCGCGGGTCAGCGAGGAGCTGCGCAACCAGATGCCTTGGTCGTACACCAGCATGGTGACCAAGCCACCGCCGCCGCCACGCAAGCCGCAGCTGCAAGTGCAGATCTATCCACAGATTCCCGAGCCAGACTACGCCGATCACTAGATATTTTGGGAGGAGCGGCTCGGAGCTGATTAGGCTTTAATCAGTCTGGAGGCGCGGTTGTTGTTGGAAGAGTTGTGTGTTATTGTTAACTTTATTGCATAAAGCTAAAGCTGATGGCCAACTGATTGACTTTTACTTTCATCTTTGTCGGGTTGAAAGCTTCCTTTTAGAAGGCTTTTCTTGTAGTGGCTATGTTCTGCTACTAGTTTCAGGGCTTCACTAAGATCCAGCTCAAGTTTTTCGCCTCTACTGAGGTGCACTTCCAGTTTGGGGGCATCCTGCTGGACTGCCTTTGCTCCCACCACAATGATAAGAGGATGACCCAATCGCTTGGCTTCCAGCAAACGTTTGCCTATGGTCAGTTCCTTGCGGTCGTCATGCAGCAGCTCCTGGTGGCCACACAGCTCGCCCACATTGAGCAGCAGTTCGTTCTCTATCACCTCCGCTGCCGGTTGCTCCCGGCTGCCTTGCTTGGGTCCTATAACGCACACATCGTAAGGAGCCACCAGCATGGGCCAATGGAGTTCCTGGTCGGTGGAGAGGACCTCCAGAGCTGCAGCAATAACCCTGGTGATGCCGATGCCAAAGCAGCCCATTAGCAGCGTTTGTGGCTTGCCGCAGGTGTTCAAGAAGGTGGCGCCCAGGGGCTTGGAGTACTTGTCGCCCAACAGGAAGGTGTGGGCCACCTCCACTCCGCGTACATCCTTTAGATCCCTGCTTTTACAGCTGGGACAGCTGTCTGCCTGGCTGTCCAGCACTTCAGAGTTGCCAGCGAAGCCGCAGGAGCTGCACTGCAGCAGGGTATCCTCGCCCACGGGCGAAACATAGTGGTATTCATGGGAAACACTGCCACCCATCATGCCAGTGGCGGCATTTACTGAAAATGGGATTCTAGATTAACAGGATTTTCTTTACTAAATGTTAAGTATGGCCTACCCTTGACAAAAGGAACCTCTAGCTGTTGAAACAACCTGTTGTAGGCCACACTAACTATGGCGTACGTTTCCCTGGCTGTTTCCTCGGAGACATCAAAGGAGTACATGTCCTTCATCAGGAATTCCTTGGCTCGCATCAGCCCGAAACGTGTCTTCAGCTCATCCCGGAACTTGGGACCGATTTGGTATAGCCTCAGGGGCAGCTGGCGATAGGAAATGGGCGAATTCGTGGCCAGCATGGCAGTCACCGCCTCCTCGTGGGTCTAATCAACAGATATAAGGTTAAATTTGAATGGGAAACTGGATAGTAAACTACTCACTCACTGGACTCATGAGGAACTGCTTGCCACTGCGATCCCGCACCATGTAGAACTCGGATATGTCGCCCTCCAGTCGTCCTGTCCTCTTCCAAAGCCCCGTGGGCGTCAGGATGGGCAGGGTGATCTTCTGGCCACCGGCCAGTTGCATGTTCCTCTGCACCAGGTCAATCAACTTGTCCACCGATCGCTGCGCCATGGGCATTATCTGGTATGTGCCATTACTGCCCGACTTCACCAGTCCCAGTTCGGTCAGGAGCTGGAATATTCAAATATTTAGATAATACTTCTTTCGTAACATTTTGGAAATGGATTACCCACCTTTTGGCTGCGGGACAGCTGCTCCGTGGGCTTGACCACCGCATTTTTGGGCGTAATGAGAGCCGGGCAGAAAATTCGCGAGGCCTTATTCATGTTTTCATTTAGTTTACCAAGTTAATTAATTGCTATTATTCCATAAAAAGACCGGTAAAGTAAATGTGTTTGAGCAATTCGATATAAACCTATCGGAAAGCAGCTGATCGACGTTTGCTATTCATCGGCGCGTTCACACTGCCCGATAGGTTTCGACGAATAATCGGCCCGTCAAAAATCGATGACAGTCTTGTTTTTGTTTTGGTTTTTCAAGAAATTCGCATAAAAATGAACTCGAGCTTTCAGGACCTGTACAAGAAGGGTCTGGACATGGGCGAGCAGCAGAAGCAGCGCCAGAGGGACCTGCTGAAGCAGCAGAAGCTGCGCCGCCAGCAGGAGCAGGATGACTCCCGCCCGCTGCAAAAAGCCGGCGAGCAGAAGCCGCCAAAGAAGAAGAAGCACTGGAAACGTGCTGGCCACCAAAAGGGAATCCCCTACAGACCGCAGCTTTCCGAGTGGCTGCGCCACAAGCCCGAGGATCTGGGCGAGTGGCTGCTTGTGCCATGTCCCGTGGGCAAGCGATGCCTCGTGGTGGCCAGCAGGGGCATCACAAAAGCGTACGCCAAAGGCGGCTGGATGTTCATGGATCTGCGATCCTCGCTGCCCGGCGACTGGCAGCACCAAAAGTGTCAGACAATCCTGGACTGCGTTTATGTGGCGGATGCGGACACCTTCTATGTCCTGGACGCCATCTCGTTTGGCCAGCAGGACCTGCAGCAGTGCGAGGCATCCTTCCGTTTCTATTGGCTGCGCGCCCGCTTCGAGGAGAACGACTTCGCCAAGATGGGCGAGCACAACGAGAAGCCCTTCGTGCTCCTCGATCACTACGACTTCGAGGACACCTCCGCCCTGGAGCAGCTCCTGCACAAGTACCCGATTTTCCCCGAGAATAAGCCCGCATTGGATGGCTTTCTGTTTTACCACAAGGAAGCGAGCTATGTGTGCCAAGTGACTCCCTTGGTTTGCTGGCTGTTTCCCTTTATGATGCAGGACATTCTGGGATTGCCCGTGAGTGGGAGCTATGCCACTCCCGAGGATTACCAGCCCGGCCAGGCTCTGCAGTACATGGATGAGTTTGACCGCAAACTGGAGGAGCACAGGAAGCAACTGAAGGAGCAGAAAAGGGTTGTAAAAGCTAGGGAGCAGCCTGACAACACCATGGAGGCGGAGGAGGCGGAGGACAGCGATGAGTATGCCAGCCTAAAGGGCGTCCTCGATCATCAGAGGCGCCTGGAGCTGGGTGAATTCGACATGGACTGCGCGGAGTCGCCAGCAGCAGCTGATGGCTGTTAGGCGGTGTGGGGGTGGCTTTCCCGCGCAGGCGCTGTGAAAACGCGGCCCTGGACAAACAGCCTCAGCTCGCGCCCAGGAAAAGCAGCCCAGATTGCAGCAAATAAATTTTTATAAATTGTTAAAAACTAATATCTAACCAAAAATGGTCATTCAACGCAGTTGGAAAATCCCCACCGATGTGGGGGGCTCCCTAAGCAGCAGCGGCAACAACAACACATCAGCAGCGAACGAAGTGCAGCAGCGTTCCTCTCCGGGCATCCAGCTGCAGGCAGCCAACTCCTCCTCCGACGACTCCGACTGCTCCAATCAGACCACACATTCGATGGACACACGGGTGGCCAGTCCTCCGTTGGAGGGCGTGAGAAAGCAGGCGGAGAAGGAGGCGTCAGCGGAAGGCAACACAATCACCCTGTCACTGCTGGGCGAGTCCACATCCTCGGATGCGGAGGCCTCGCAGGTAACTAGGAGCCTAAATTCATATTCAAGGGGGAATCTAATATCTATTTTTTGCCACAGAAATATGTAACCACACCGGAAATGGCGGAGAACATGTTGCAGCGCATTCGCCAAAGACTGGGTGGCTCGCACAACACCGAGAGTGGCGGCAGTGCAGAGTCCGCCATGCGAGCTTTGGAACTCTTGAGAATCAGCGTACAGCAAGCCTTCGATGCGGAGGTCAACGAGATAATTAAACGATACATGCAAGTAGGTGTTTAAGGCTACTATTAAACCAAAACTCTCCCTCTAATTTTGTATTTCCTAACCTAAACCAGAACTACTTTAAGCCCGCCTTTGGCAACATCAAGGAGAACCTGGGCCAGCACTCGGTGAATGAGGAAACGCTGCAGAAGATGTCATCGTGTGCTCTGCTGGAGAATGCCAAGGCTCAGTACACGAACTTTGTGCGCCAGCAGCAGCGCCAGGCACTCAAACGCACAGCCAAGCAGGAGATTAGCCCAGTTAACAAAGTGTTTGTGGCCACCAAACCGATGCCCTGCACGGCGACCACCGAGAATCAGAACCCACAACCTGCAGTTCAGCCTCAACAGCTGCAACAGCAGGAGTTGCAAACAGTACAGCCCCTGCAGCAAACACAGGCGCCAAACCAACAGCCACATCGCTCCACGGTTACTCCGCTGGTGGGTGGCACTCTGCCCACTCCAGTGCGCCGTCAGATATTCTGGAACACCGCACAGATCTCGACCACCACCAAGTTCGTGCTGGATGTGCAGGCCAACCTGGCCTTTGGCTTTGGCACCGACGGCAAGGAGCGGTTGGCCAGCAAGCATCCCGAATTGATACGCTACCTGCCGGATGGCGAGGACAGGGAGTGGCTGGCCACGCGCGGCATTATTCCCGCCGAGAATCGCAGCTCGCGGTTCTTGTTTCTCATCTACGACGAAGTTTGCCGGCTGCAGCAAACGCACGATCTGTATCGCCACAAAAGCAACATTGATCTCAGCATGATGCTCACGTTCAGCGTCACCGATGCCATGATACACAAGATGCGGCTGTTCTTTGTGGATCTGAATATCAAGAGTCGCGGACTCATAACCAATTCGTATATTATGCCCAGCCAGCAGCAGTCGGGAAATGCCAACAACAGTCATCTGAGGAATGCCCTGCTCCAGGGAGCCTCAGCTCAACAACAGCAGCAGCAGCAACAACAGGTAGCCACGCCGCCGTCTGAGGAGGCTGTGCTCAAGGACCTCCCGGCTGCATCGCCCACTCCCTGCCTGCAGGGTCAGGTGGTGGGCAGCACAACGACGCCGCTGAAGACCAAACTGGGGGCCAGTTCCACGCTCAGCTCCTCGCATGCCACACTCACGGCCTTGCTGAACAACGGAGGAGTTGTTGTGGCAGCGGCTCCGGCAGGCAATTCCGCACCCAGCACCATTGGGAAATTTAGAAATTAATACAAGTCAATTAGATTACGTTTAATACAATTCCTTTGCCAGTTGGTTAACAGTTAAGAGTTTAATAATTTAGGCTGCCCTTTAAATTAAATGCAATATTTTCATTCTGTACATTTAAATAGAAAATATGAGCAATAAAGAACACAACTTCAAATAAATATTTGCTGTTTATTGAAACTCAATTTGATATACATATAATGTGGGTCTCTTTTTGGTTTTTCTACAGTTATTTTTTAAATATAATAATATATATATATATAATATGTACGTTCATATAGTTCACATCTGTGTGTATATTGTTTTACATAGTGTACGCAGGTAATGGCTAAGTTATTTTCTTTAACAAATAGTAGATTTGTATTCTTATAAGCCTTGCTACAGCCCCAATCGGCACTTTTGAAGCGCAATCCTCCCCAGATTCCAGATATGGTGTTATTTTTACAGAGTATTTTCCAAAACACTCGATACCAAAACTCTCTCTCGGCCAAGTACAATAAGTAGTCGTAGTATTAGAGTTATCTAGTAGTAGAAAAGACCGAAAAATACCTAAGAGTAGTTGATAGCAGCTGACTTTGCCGGAAAAATAGCTCCATCAACGAGTAGAACATTAGTGAGTAGTTTTCTTTAATTTTGAGATAGCACAACCATTTTAGTTTTCGTTTACCCTTTAACTAGGTATATAAAACAACAGCCAGATTGTGAAGAGTAATTAGCCAACCGAAAAAGAACGGGAATATATATATATTTCTTTTTACCCTGACTACCTTGACAACTAACCAAGTACTTACAAGATACAACAATGGATTATCTGGTACTCTAAGTATTCTTTTGGGTTTTCTTTTTCTTTTAAAGCAACATCTAACAATAAGAAAAGCCCGCAGCTGCCCTTGAAACAGATATGCGGATATTAAAGAAAGTCGTTAGGTTTAAGGACCTAAGGACTTTTTTAGCCATCGTGACTGGCTTTAAAAGTGTTTAGGACAGTAAAAGTTCCACAATGTCCTCTCGTTGCAGCTTAAGTACTCAGGTGTAAGCGTTGTATAAATAAATCTAGATGTGTTTGTAACTTTAGTTTGAAACTCCAAGTCGTTAGGCTGAACCGCTGATTAGATATTAGATATTCGATTTATACACAAGTTCCGAAAATGTAAATTTTTCACGAGATTGTCCTGTTCTGTGTGTGTGGCTTTCTGCTGAAAAATCTTCTTTGATAGTTTTTTCAAAGAGCGTGGGAAAATGGAAAGAGGAAAAACAGGATTAGAGGGGGTTGTCCTTAAACTCTGCTCTGTGTTGCAATCAAATGCCCTACCATAAAATGACTACAGTAAATTCGTCTTAATCACGCTTTAATCGCACTCAATTCTCACACGCACACACCCATAAAGATTGTCGATTTAAACTAGATTTCATTTTTGAGATTTGGGGATTTTTAGATATTCAGATTTTCGGATTCTTAGAGGCTCAGTTTTATAGATTTCGTGTGGAGCAGTTGAAACCTTGGCGGGGTTATCAGCTGAACGGATAGTGATTTTTCTAGACTGCGCAACATTTAACTAACACTTATTTCGGTTATAAGTAGGCCCTTTTGTTTCGCTACCAAGCTTTAAATCCCTCTCTCTGTGGATTATTCATTCACTTCGTTGCCTCGAAATTTCAACATTATTGTTTTGGTGCCCGTTTCGTTTCCATTCTTCAAACCCACCTTCCATCCATCCATTCAAATTGCGAACAACATTAAACTTTCATAAAACACAACAAGCAAAATATATATACTATATGCTTCTGGTACTCCGATTCCTCAATTATTGTGCTGTCTGTGATATAAGGGTACTCCTCGTACTCCCCCCATTTGTAGTGCTGCATTACCTGTGTACAAACATACCCTACTTACAAAGCTCTCTCACCACGAATATATAGTGTTTAGTGTAACATAACCTGCCAGCCCGCGCTAAGCTCAGTTAACTAATAACTAATACATACAGGGAAATATTATCTCGGGTTAACAATATGTGGTATATGGTATATATATAATATATGGTGTCCATATCTTAGGCGCTAACAAATTGAGCTTGCAGTACTTCCGAGGATTCCAGGGGACTTCGATCTCCGCACTGCCTGTGAACTGGGACTACTACTACCATCGGGTTGTTCGGTCAGGGAGAGTTGTCAGAATCGGAGCCTCCGTAGCTGTGCATCGGGAAGAGCGGATACCAACCGTTGATGGGCTGCCCGATGCTCACCTTGTCCAGATTCACCTCCGTGCCGCCCAGTCCCTGGTTGTGCTCGAAGCCCACGCACCGCTGCCACACCATGATGACGATGTTCCGTCCAAAGACGTCCGAGCTCTGCATTTGCATGGAAATTCGTTATCGTTATGCGTTATTCGTTTGGGTAATTACATGGCGACGGCGGCCAGTAAAATTATGGCGCGTGCCCAACGGGGCGCATCCACCTGTGACACCTTAACCCTCTGTGTACCCAGGGATCTTTAAATTATTGTAAAATAAATACATAAAATAAAACAAAATATTACATCAAATAAATAGGTACATATTTTTTCTGGATTATAGTTATATATTATTTATTTATATATGTTATACCTTTAAAAAAAATAAAAAGAATTTTAATAAAATATAAAATCTTCCAAGGCAGAATTATTGCTATGAACTATAGTCTTAACTTGAATTCCACAAAGTCCATTAAACAATTTGTAAATCTTAAAATAGGAAAAAATAAGCATAGAACTTTAAAATAATTTATTCTTATACCTGTTATTATTGTTCATAGAAAAAAATGTGATTAATTTACATCAGCAAATCCTTTTGATCAAATTTTCCTCTATTTTTTAGAATATATAAAAAAACTTTCAACTAACAATATTTATATATTTAGGGCCGTTTTATCTTCCGTTTGTTAAATTTAAAGTAGGATTAAATCCTTGAAATCGTTTGGACAATCAGAGTTTAAAACTGTTAAATTTAATAGGTGGAGGGAAGAACGGCCCTTAGTTCTGCGAACCTTTCAAATCCTGCAGTATAAGTATTTTTAGTTGACTCTAAGGAAATTCCATTAAAAACCCATTACTCAGTAAACCCATGGAAAAATTTTATAATTCAAATGGAATTTGGGTTTTTAGCAAGGGACTTGAGATCTCCGCGGTATACAGAGGATTAAGGTGGGCCATCTGTCGACCACCTGCTGGTCGCGGAAATTGGCCTTGTCGATGCGGTCCGGCCAGCAGCCATTAATCGCATTACAATGCAGGCAGCAGGTAATAACATCCTGACGTGGCCATGGTCAGGCATCAGTTCGGTGGCATCGCCATCCATCCACCATCATCATCCCCGCGTCATCATCATTATCATCGTCACCAGGCGCTACAACAATGGGCCATTTGCTCACCTGGTACTTAATGGTCTGCCGGTAGATGGGCTCCGCCGCGTGGCGCACAACGCGCGTCTTCTTCTTGTGGCGCAGGCGGTCCCCATCCTTGATGTAGCACTTCACATAGGTATCCGGCGGAGTTTCGCAGTCCTCGTTGACGATATTACGGGCGCAGATTAGCTGAAAACGAGGTACAGTAAAAACGGGGCAATAAAATATGTGTGTTTAATGGTCAGCTCCCAGGGACTCATAAGCTGGAACTCAACTCCCTAGCTCATAACAGTCGAATTCCTATTGCAAACCCTTGTAAGCTGGGTTATAAAAAGGGTATATCAACGTTCATAAAAAGAAAATATATCTTAAGGGAACTGAAAACTATTGAAGAAATAATGGAATTTAAAAAGCTGAAGACTTATTTAAAAATGCATTATTTTAAACCATTTTTTAAAACCTTTTAACATACTTATTTATCCCATTTTTCCTAACAATATTTATTGTAATATTTATTGCGATATTTATTATAATATTTATTGTAATATAATGTATATATAATTTACAATATTTATATATATATTTATGATCTAGTCCTTGAGCCAATAACTTTAAAATAAAAATCTGATTTTAAAGTAAAATTTTTAAAATATTTATATAGAATGAAACCCCTATTAATGTTGCTAAAATTGCTTTTATATGAACTTAACACATCTAAAATATATTTAAGAAGTTCGCTAATCAATTGAAATTAGGTTAAATTTACATTAAATAAAATAAAATTTTCTTTTAGACTATAAAATAAATTTAGTTAATATAAAAAAAAAGAACAAAAACAAAAAAACATACAACATTTTATAAATTTAAAAAATTTAAAAAATTTTATACATTAAAAAAAATGTTTTTTAAATGTTTTTAGGGATAAGTTAATATATTCCTTGTAAGTACTCTCGTCAACTCACCTCCACCTCCACATTGCCCTTGATCTTGACGAATCCCATCTTGAGTTCCCCGTACCGCGCGGTGGTCAGGCGGTAGCCCTTCGGATGGATCTGCGAGGGTCCGAGTTTCAGGCCGTAACTGGACTCCCCACCGGTGATGGGCGAGGTGTTGACATAGCTGCCGCTGAGGGTCTTGACCACACTCTGCTTTCGCTGCGGACTATCCATGCCGGGATTATCCACACCCAATCCCAAACCCACGCCGCTCCTCTGATAGACGCTGCCCTTGCGAGTGGGCGTGCCGCCCATGGGCGGTGTTTCGGTGACCTTGGCCACATACATGCTGCCCTTCCGCTGCAGAGTGGTGGTGGTTGTGGGTGGGGCCAACGGAGCCTGGGATTCGCTCAACTGGAAAACGCTGCTCTTGCGCTGCTGCGGCATTTGCTGCTGGCTGGTGGCCATCAGTTGACCCTGTCGACTCGAATCCTGGGCCACATTCGACACGGAGGCGGCCTGTTTGAGCCGCGAGAGCACCTGCTTGGGACTCTGGGGCGGCAACTGGCTACCCGATCCCTTCCAGCGCGGCCTGTAGCGCTTATCCTCGTCCTCGGATGGCGGACTGGTGTCCGCCTGGCCCACTCCCATGGGCAATTGCTGCTGCAAGTACAGCTGCTGCTGCTGCTGCAACTGCAACTGCTGGAGTTGCTGCAACTGTTGCTGCTGCTGTTGCGACAAATCCAGAACGGAACTCTTGCGGCTATTCGGTCCGCTCGGCAATCCAACGCGACTGGCACCTGAACAGGTTGGAAATCACAGGTTAGAGTCTTTCCTTGTGCAATCTTCAAAACGCTTTTGAACTCAACTCAAATTATCAAGTATTACTGGCAGTGATGGGAAAACTATAGTACCATTAACTATATGTCTACCTATCTAGAAGGTAGAAGGCAAATTACCGCTAAAGTATATCCCGATAAGGTGGGAATCCTAATTCTCAAAGACTTCGATAAAGTATTTCATGCATTCTATTGTCATATTGAAATTATCTAAATATATTGTTACATTTTTAAGGCTAGTAAATAAATATTTTTTAGAATGACGATATTCACTAATACTGGGTAACTATCTAAATAAAAAAGTTATTTTTCAAACTTCTTATGAAACCTTATTTTTTTTAAAAGTTACACTTTTAAACTGATTATTATTATCATTTAGATGAAATACTTATTTTATTTACATTTAAACTTAAGCCTTTTAAATGTTTTATAATTTGTTAACCAAATTTCATTTTGAAAACAGCTTTTCCTCAATTGACATTAACATTTTCATAGTTAAGTATTAACTTCTCCTAATTTCTTTCTGAGTTTTCCATCACTGCTTTTCCGGGGACGTAGAATGAAAGGGTGTTACAGGACTAGGACTAAGAATAAGAATAAGAAAAAAGGGAAAGCTACACTGAACAAAGCATGCAGCTAAACAACATCTAAATCAGTATTGATTTTGAAATTCAGTCGATTTCTTTTGTTTAATTGCTTATTTTATAATGTTTTCAAGATGCCGGCAATGGATTTGGACACTGCCCTGTTGACCATGGGTAAGGAGACTAATAACTATTATATTCCATATTCCATTTAAGAGATCAATCTTAAAGGTTACGGCTGTGGTCAGGTGATAATCTTCGCTGTGAGCTTCTTCGTCTACTTTTACTCTGTGTCCGAGTCCATGAGTGCTGGTTATCTCGTCATTCTGTCCTCCTGCGATTTTGCAACTACCGGAGGTGACAAGACCCTCTTGGCCAACTCCCTGCTGGGAGGAATGGTGGCCTCTGGCCTCTTCATTGGCCTCGTGGCGGACAGATATGGCCGAAAGTTCACCATTCGGCTAGCATTAATTGGTGCCCTATGCTTCTCGTTTCTCTCGGCCTTAATGCCGGAGCTCTATTCCATGGCTGTGATGCGGATGATTGTCGGCATTTTGTAGGTTGAATGGATCGCTCAAAAGGAGTTCGCGTTCTAATTCAATCCCCTATACCATCCCTAGCCTCTCGGGAGTTGCCTCTTTGCAGGTTGGCTTCCTGACCGAGTTCCATGCCCCCAAGTGGCGCCCTCTGGTGGTCACCCTTTGCAGCCATTCCCAGACCGCTGCCCTCATGTACTGCCCCCTGATGGGCATGGCCATTTTGCCCACAAATTTCAGTATAACCCTGAGCAGCAACTACGATATGCGCGCCTGGCGATTCCTAATGATGGTGATCGAAATTCCTGGCTGGATAGGTCTATTGGGCATTAGTCTTGTGCCAGAGACCCCGTACTATCTGATGTCCGTCAATCGTGAGGATAAGGCCATTATGGCCCTCAAATGGATATGTCGGATGAATCGGAAAAAGTGGGAGGACTTTGAAATATCGGTAGCCGAACTTCCAAGGGCCACCATCGTTGCGGGGGGCTTCTGGAAAGAATTGTGGGACGAGAGTATACGGCTTTTCAAGCGACCATATGTCGGCAGATTTATGCTCTGTCTGTGGTTAATTTTCGGAATATTCTTCGTGTAAGTGCTTTAAAACCCAAGTCTTAGAGATAATTAGGTTCTGTATCAAAAGTTTTGTAGGTATTTTTTATTAGGACATGTTTGTTTGTAAGTTAAGGTTACCCTAAGAAGTAGTTTCTAAGTTAGGGTAACCCCAAAAGGTAGTTTCCGAAAAAGGGGTACCCTAATAAGTAGATTCTAAGCCATGGTAACCCAAAGAAGTTTTTGAAATAAGGTAACCCTTAAAAGTAGTTCCTAAGTTATGGTAACCCAAAGAAACAATTTTGAAGTAGTTTCAAAGGGATTTCGCGAGGTTTTCCTTTTTCAGATGTCAATCAATATCGATTCTGTTTAACTACTTCGCAGAGCCATTGGAATGGGCATCTGGTTTCCGGTTATCCGCAACATGGACAACTCGGGCCACCACCGGTTTTGCTACCTGATCCATCATAACCCAATAATAAATAAGCATAACATACGGACGGCGAACGGAACGGACACAGGGGTGCCACATTGCCACGATGTGATGAGCAACTTCATCGATCCCATCTACTATGCATTGGCCTACATGAGCTGTTTTATTCTATCCTCGCTTTTGTTGCAGTGCATGGCGAGGAAGTTCGCGATTGCCGTTCACATCGCGCTGGCCTGTATCCTTGGCTTATGTCTTAATTTCCTAAAGCAACCGACCATGGTGCTGATCTTCTTCACGCTCATGATGGTTCTTCCCGGGGTCCTGATCCCTCTGGCCACCTCGGCCCTGGTCGATTGCCTGCCCACCCATCTGCGAGGCAAGGCAATCTGTATGGTGCGATCCCTGGCCCGTTTTGGTGGCGTCTTGGGCAGCACTCTGGTTGGAATGCTAATGAGGATCACCTGCGATGTAACCTTAAACATTTTCAATGTCGCTCTGGCTCGTAAGTTGAAGGTTCTGCCTTTCTGTCTTAGTTTCTAAGGTTTGGATCTTAAATTAATATCTTTTTCTCCAGTTTGTGTCGTGTTGGCCGTCTTTCAACCCAAAGGCATGCCTGCATCATAGCAAAATTACGTCTATATATATATATTTTTAAGTTTCTTAGACGAAGTTGTATATATCTTTAAATAAAAATCTTAGCCGTAAAGAATTTTAATTTGTAACACATATTTTTAAGACCAAAAATTTCATGGCATAGCAATCCGTATTGAGGTTTCAATTCTTAATTCTTTCTTCTAAATCTTCTAAATTATACATTTATACACTTAAAAATGTTCTAAGGATAAGTGACATCGATGACATGTTCGCCGAATGGGGTAAGTCCTTCCCCATCCGATAGATTACTTTAGTGATTCTGATACTTCTGATCCCTTAGGTTATGGCAAGATGCAATACATTGTTTTATTTTTAAAACAGCTTTCTCACAACTAGGAAGTCTAAAACGGAATGTATTTGAATTGGTTATATTATCGAATTGACATTAATAGTTTCATAAATTCTTTCTGGATTTCCCGTTACTGGCTTATCGGGACTAAGAATAAGAATAAGAAAAAAGGGAAAGTTACCCTGAACAAAGCATGCAGCTAAACAACATCTGAATCAGTATTGATTTGGAAATTCAGTCTATTTCTTTTGTTTAATTGCATATTCTATAATGTTTCTCGGTCATTGTTCCTAATTAATTTATTGAGTTTTCAAGATGCCGGCAATGGATTTGGACACTGCCCTGTTGACCATAGGTAAGGAGACTATAAACTATTTAATATTCCATAGTTTTTATGTTTGATCTCTTAAAGGTTACGGTTGTGGTCAGGTGATAATCTTCGTTGTGAGCTTCTTCGTCTACTTTTACTCTGTGTCAGAGGCCATGAGTGCTGGTTACCTCGTCATTTTGACCTCCTGCGATTTTGCAACTACCAGAGGTGAAAAGACCCTGTTGGCCAACTCACTTCTGGGCGGAATGGTTGCCTCCGGCCTCTTCATTGGCCTCATAGCGGACAGATATGGCAGAAAGTTCACCATTCGGCTTGCATTAATTGGTGCCCTATGCTTCTCGTTCTTCTCGGCCTTAATGCCGGAGCTCTATTCCCTGGCTGTGATGCGGATGATTGTGGGAGTTTTGTAGGTTGAACGGATCCTTTAAAAGGAGTTCGTAAGAGGTCTAACCAAATATCACCTTTAGCCTCTCTGGAGTTGCTTCTTTGCAGGTGGGCTTCCTGACTGAGTTCCATGCCCCCAAATGGCGCCCTCTGGTGGTGACCCTTTGCAGCCAATCCCAGACCGCTGCCCTCATGTACTGCCCCCTGATGGGCATGGCCATTTTGCCCCCAAATTTCAGTGTAACCATTAGCAGCAACTACGATATGCGTGCCTGGCGATTCCTAATGATGGCCATGGAGATTCCTGGCTGGATAGGTCTATTGGGCATTAGTCTTGTGCCAGAGACCCCGTACTATCTGATGTCCGTCAATCGTGAGGATAAGGCCATTATGGCCCTCAAATGGATATGCCGGATGAATCGGAAAAAGTGGGAGGACCTTGAAATATCGGTAGCCGAACTTCCAAGGGCCACCATCGTAGCGGGGGGCTTCTGGAGAGAATTGTGGTACGAGAGTATGCGGCTCTTCAGACGACCATATGTTACCAGATTTATGCTCTGTCTTTGGCTTGTTTTTGGAATATACCTCGTGTAAGTTTTTTAAAATCCAAGTCAAAGGTTTTGTAATCATTTTGTATTACTTCATTTGCTATTCATTATTGCTTGCAAGTTAGGGTAACCCTAAGAAGCAGTTTCTAAGCCATGGTAACCCTTAAAAGTAATTTTTACAATATGGTAACCCTTAGAAGTAGTTCCGAGTTATGGTAACCCAAAGATGTAGTTTCGAAAGGATTTCGAAGGGGATTTTTTTTCAGATGCCAATCAATATTGATTCTGTTTAACTACTTCGCAGATCTATTGGATTGGGGATCTGGTTTCCGGTTATCCGCAACATGGACAACTCGGGCAATCACCAGTTTTGCTATCTGATCCATCATAACCCAACATTAAATAAGCATAGCGAACGGTCGGTGAACGGAACGGACACTGGGGAGCCACATTGCCACGATGTGATGAGCAACTTCATCGATCCCATCTACTATGCATTGGCATACATGGGCTGTTTTATTCTATCCTCGCTTTTGTTGCAGTGCATGGCGAGGAAGTTCGCGATTGCCGTTCACATTGCGGTAGCCTGTATCCTTGGCTTATGTCTAAATTTCCTAAATCAACCAACCATGGTGCTGATCTTCTTCACGCTCATGATGGTTCTGCCCGGTGTCCTGATCCCTTTGGCCAGCTCGGCCATGGTCGATTGTCTGCCCACCCATTTGCGAGGCAAAGCAATCTGCATGGTGCGATCCCTGGCCCGTTTTGGTGGCGTCTTGGGCAGCACTCTGGTTGGAATGCTAATGAGGATCTCCTGCGATGTAACTTTGAACATTTTCAATGTCATTCTGGCTTGTAAGTTGACCGTTTTCCCTTTAATTTTAAGGTTCTGGGACTTAAGATCACCTTTCCTTCTACAGTGTGTGTCGTTTTGGCCATCTTTCAACCCAAAGGCATTCCTGCATCATAGTGAAATTACTAGTAAATGGAAATTACTAGTATTAATGGAATAGAAGGTATGAACTTAAGGTATGTATGAGGTTTGGTCTATTTTATGTTTCTTAGGCTTCGTAGGTACCTCTGGACGTGGTTGCGACTTCTCCTGGCTGCTAAATGGTACTAAGAACATTTCTACTTTGCTTTATGTTTCACCATTAAGCTTTAATCAGGAGAGTAAGAAGTCTGTTTGAAGACGTCCAAGATCTGATAAGTCCTTAAAAATTAACTAAAATTCGATGTATCTTTAAATAAAAATCTGATCCGAAAGGAATTTCTATATGTAACACTTATTTTTGAAGGCATAGCAATCCGTAGTTAAGTTTCAATTCCTAATTCTTTCCTATCTTCAAAATTAAAAAGTTTTTATACATTTATACACCTAAAAATGTTCTAAGGATGAGTGACATTGATGACGTGTTCGCCGAATTGGGTAAGTCCTTTTTCATGCGGTAGATTTTTATAGTGATCCTGATCATTGTGATCCTCTAGGTTTTGGCAGGATGCAGTTCGTTGTTTTATTTTGCTGTTTTGTACTGCAAGTGTGGATAACCAACGAGCAGCTGGGCATTGGAGTGGTACTGGCAGGAGCCAGTTGTGAGCTGGAAATCCACGATAAGCGGCTGGCCTGGCTAATGGCGGGAAATTTTACAGCTCAGCTGGTATCCTGTTTTCTATGGGGCCAATTGTCGGACGTTCATGGAAGACGCAAAGTGATTTTGCTTACGGGAATCTGCTCAAACTTATTATCCATTCTTTCGGCTTTTATGCCAGAGTTTTGGGGATTCTTTGGCCTGCGTATATTATCAGGTTTCTTGTGAGTGGGAGGTACTTTCCCAGATTCTAAATTTATTAATCTTTAAAACCTTTCTTTCAAAGTCTCTCAGCTTCGGTGGTCAGTTGCCTGACCTACATGAGTGAGTTCACAAAGGTTTCCCTGCGACCCAGAGTGCTGACCATTATGAGCTATGCCATCGGTTTCAGTCTTATCTATGTGCCGGGTAAGAATCGCTTTGCTAACCTCTTCGGATGATCGAATTTCTCATTTTCTAAGCTCTGGCTGGTGGCATTTTACCGCTGGATATCAAGGTCAGTGCCTGGCGTATCCTGCTGTTGCTCAACCAGTTGCCCGGAGCCATAGGCATCATCGTTTTGATCTTCCTGCCCGAGAGTCCCAAGTACTATCTTTCGGTTGGCGAACAGGAGAAGGCCATGAAGGTAATGGAGAGGGTCTGCCGGATGAACAAGGGCAAGAATGCTACGCTGGAAAGTTTTGGGGTGTCCTCACTCACACAGCCTCGCTTGCGCCACAAGTAAGGATTAAGATTTCAGTACCCACTTTCGAATTTTAATAAATTTCCCATGCCTGCAGGTCCATGTTTTTAGGCCCTTGCCAAGATGTCAAGATTCTGATGACTAAATATTCAAAATTCATGTGGATTTTCGCATTCGCCTTCTTTAGCCTGTCTGGACTGTGAGTTGAAAATGTATTAGTAAGGCTTAAGAATTCGCGGAATCTGAAGAATTCACAAGTTAACTTTTGTGATTATTATGAAAGAAGAATTCGGAAAACCAATTTGAATTTATTTTTTATTTTTAATTTATTTAATAATATTTAATTTTATTTTATAGAGCCTTCGCTCTGCCTATTTGGATGTTGCGGATCAGGGTTATGACGAGTCAAGAGGAAAAGCCGGAGACGATATGCAATCTCTTGCAGGAGAAAATTACGAGTCCAAAAGATGTGAAAGTTGGTAGTGGTACTTATAGTACGGGTAAAGACACTTCTTACTACTTTTTGTGTTTCTTATAGTGCCATTTAACCTATGATGAAATGGAGGATCCTCTTATTCATGGTTTCGTTGTCCTCAGCCTTTTCATTGTCACCAGCCTTCTCTTGATTTGCCTTAATCGACGAACACTCGTTTTGCTTTTTATTTCGATTGCCATCCTGGGATGCGCTTTATTGAACTTTGTGAAGGCGCCTCTCCTCATATTAATTAGCTTTATGGCCGTAATCGATCCACCAATGTGCTGCATCAGGTTGACAAGTTCCCTGCTCATAGATTTCATACCCACTCATCTGAGGTAACATCTTTATGTTGTTATTATTATAATATATTATTATATTATTTGCAGGGGAAAAGCCTTTTCTATTACCCTTATGATGGGTCGTTGTGGTGTCCTGATGAGCAACTTGTATGTGGGCTACACTTTGACACACGTCTGCTATGCCACCTTCAATAGTTTTATTCTATTGCTCATAGGTAAGCTTTGACTTCTTACTAAAAATTATAGCTAAAAATTATATCCCAATAGTTTGCGGTATCCTCGTGTTCTTATTACCAGCCGAATATAGAATGGATAGTTTTTCAATGTGATGAGGACTCTTGTGTAAATTAGTAAATAAATATACCAGATGTGAATTAAAAAGGCATTCCTCTTACTTATCTTTAGGTATTTGGGAAACTTTTTGGAAAATAAAATGATGATGGGTTTTCCCTATCGGCCCTGCCAATCAGTCAATCAATCATTCAATCAATTGGGCGCTCACAGCACGAAGTACAAATTTGACGGCAAAAAGGATTATGGCCAAAGTTCAAATATTTTTGTGCGCCAGCCAAAAAAATAAAATAAACGTCAAATAAACTTGGCGACAGCTGCGTTTATATGGTCTCTCGAGTTTTTATTTTTCTGTGTGGTGTGTATTTGAGCCCAGCGGATATGAAAGTGCGTAAAAGGCAAAACGGAAACGGAAGGCAAGGCAATCGCTAAGCGGCTTAATAATAACTGTCGAGCAAAAGAAAATCGAATCGAAGGAAAGGCAAAGCAAAGTAAGGGAAAGCGAGAAAACATATTGGCAAAGACAGCCGAGACTTTCTTTTTTGCTGAGCAAGCACAATAATAGGGACATCTTGGCAGCCAGGTTCCCCAGCGAGTATAGAGCTGTCAATTCCGTATACAAATGGTATATATGGTACATATGTATCCCCAAGTTTGTAGAGGACTTTTTCCAGACACAGACGCTGCTTATTTTCATATTTAACGGCTTGTTTGTGGCTCTGGGAAATGCGAATGAGAATTTCGGCTTTGTTCTGTTATCGCGTTTCATTTTTTTTTTTTCAGTCTCTGTGACTTTTCATATTTCGCTTCGCTTTTTTGGGAAAAGTTAATTTCAAGGCTGAGCTATTTCGACGGGGCGTTGAAGGGTTTATGAGGGCGGCGAACTGTTACCAACAGGTAATAAGGGGTTTTCCCCTTTTGAGCTTTGCATTTTAAACTCAAATTTGCCAGCGAGTTTCGGGCTTTTGTTCGTTTTTTTCGGAGGGGGGCTGTGAAAATAGCATCTATAAGCTTTAATAAGCCCCAGTCTACACAGGGGAGAAGTTTTCATGTCCCAGGACGACGACGACGACACTCCTCTCCACTGGATTATCAAGAGAAGTACGTGAGCCTGGATGAGTGTGTAATGAGATTTCGGCTTTTTCGCTTTTCGGCAGCTCGCAAAACATGCATGCGAGTACGTATATAGACGGTTACTACTAAGTAATTGTGTGTAAAAGTGGGCGTTAATTAAGTGGCATGCATGCAGCTAGCTGGAATCAAGAATTCCAGTTAAATGGCGCTAATTAAGGTTGTAGAAAATCAAGAAGCTGAAGAAGTAGGCAAGCTGAAACCAAAATGCCAAACGCAACTCAATCTCAACTCAAGTTCATTTTGCATTCTTACCAGTGGTGAGTGATGGTGTTTTCTATAGAGTGTGTGGAACATACTGTAGTTTCTTACTTTTTTGTTTAAATATTTTGCAGCAAAGCTCAATTTGCAGGTATTCCTATTTTTGGTTTCTTGTATAATTTACAAAAGGTTTTAAGGTTTAAGGTTTTTGGTTTTGCAGAGTTTGCTGGTTTCTGTTTTCTGTATTCTGGATTTCTACCATTTGTGGTTGCTCTGGTTGTGGTGCAGTGTGAAGGGTGAGCCCTTTTCATTAGATTAAGCAAAAGAATTACGAGTAACTGACAGGTGCTGAGGGCTTTAAATAAGTGGCTTTAGTTAGTGCTTTATGCTTTTGTTTATTTGATTTTGGATTTAATTAAGTTTAAGTTTTGTGTGGCTTGCTGTTTGGTTGCTGGGCATTTGCATTTCTAGTGTTTTGTCCAGTTTGTGTAGGGTGTGTCAAAGCTTTGATAATGCGACACCGATATTGTGGCTAATAGTGGGAAAGATATGGAAGAAGTTATTAGAGAGAGACAGTTGTAAATATATATGTAAGAAGTAGATGTGTAAGATGCAATGTCAGGTTTAGTGGGTGTCCACATAGCATAGAGCAGCAAGGCACAGTTGGGTGGTTTTTTGTGGGGGATTTAAAAGAAATGCAGAGAGAGAGAGACACAGGAACATAGCGGAGAGAAAGAGAGAAGGCAGCAAGAGATCTCTTGCTTTGAAGTATTCCAAATCATAATAATATAAATAACTTAGGGTTCCCACACAAATTCTGATGATATCAAATAATTTCCATGAGCATTTAGCTTATAGCATAATTAAGCGTGATAAGCTAATAGAAAATATAATTTCTTTAATTAAAGCTAAAAGTAGTGGACAATTTTGAAAAAGTTTTAAGTCTCTCTTTGATTTCTTCGATCGAGCACATGGCGCCCGAGCAGGGACCTTTATAACATGAATGGACATGTAGAATCAGTCGTCTAATTTTGCTATTTGCCTTGTGTTCTTGGGCATTACGTCATATCATCTTTGATAGTTCTTCCAAATGTTCCAATTTTTGTTTAAAATCCCCTCTACTCACGTCTCGATCCCATGCGCTTGTGCTGCTCGGTGCCCAGACTCATGGTACGCCCCAGCTCGCCGCGGACAGCCTTCAAGGATTTCAAGATCTCATCCGGATCGCGTCGAGCCACGGACGAACGGCGCCTGCCCACCAAATAAGAGGTGGGCGGCGTGGCCATGGCGTCCTCCTCCAGCCGATTCTTTTCGGCATCCTGGAAGCTCGATCGACGCGAACCCGGCAATGAGCGCGAGAAGTCCTTGCCCAGCTGGTAGACCTCCACTTCCATGGTTTCCGACTGCGAGGAACCGCGTCGCGAGCCAGCTATCCAGGCGTGATCCGGATGCAGCAGCGAGGTTCCATCTCCGATGGAGTCTACGTCATCGGAGTTGGAGCGGTGCATATTATAATCGCGACGCAGCAACCGGGTCACATCGCCACTCGGAGCTCCGGCGCCGGCTGCAATGGAGCCGCGAGGCGAAACACTTGGCGATTTGCTGATGCTAATGCCACGCAGACCCTTGGTATCGTCCAGCCGACACCAGATGGCCTGGTCGTCGAGGAAGGCCTGCTGCAGCTCGATGCTGCATTCACCGAGGAAAATGGATTCGGTGTGGGGTACCAGGTCCCACAGCTGGATGTCTATGTAGCGATCCATCAAGGTGTCGGCCTTCACATGACCGAAGGTCAGTGTGGCGTTCCAAATGGGATTCTGTGTGGGTCGGCTGACCTCCGTTTGCTGCACGCTGCCATCGCCACTGCAGAAAGGGAAAAGTATATAACGATTGTTTATAAAGTATAGGTAACTACACTATAAGATTGTTCTTAAAATTTAAAAAAATGGTAGGGTTAACATGGCGCCCGAACAGGGTAATAAAAGTAGTGAGGCTAACATGGCGCCCGAACTGGGACCTTATAAGCATATTTTGTGGTTGTGAATGCTAAGATTAATGAACTTTACTTTTGTTTATTTTAGAGCTTTTCTTTAAAATTAAACAAAAAAGTAAACGCCCAAACTGGGTCATCAAACTAGGAAACTTTTTAAAAAATATTTCATGTTAGTGAATTTTGAGACTAGTTAAAGAAACAAGGTTTAATTTATAAGACAGTTTCTTCCAAAACTTTATTATGTATTAAAGTAGTAATGGGAACATGGCGCCCGAACAGGTTCCACTTATAAATATTTTATGTTTGTGAATGCCAAGACTTGTAAATTTAAAAATGAATACAATATTTCATTATTTGTTAAGACTTGTAAATTAAAAAATATTTTAGTTGACTAGAGACTTTAGAGAATGTAACAAAATGGTAACGCTAACATGGCGCCCGAGCAGGGTTGTTTACTCACCATTTGGGCAGAATGCGGACCTTGGCGTACGCCTCGGGCAGATTGCCGTGTCCGTAGGCCTCGTCCCGCAGTGCCAGGTCATCGCCGGCCATCAGGGAGACGACCAGCTCGTTGCGCTCAGCATGGTACCACACCTGGATCTGCACCCTTCCGGTGACGAGCTTCTCGCGGGCAATTTGCTCCTGGGGTGGGTGGGTATCAAAAACGCTCGTTAGTTCACGGGTCTCAAAAATAGCTCGGTCTGCGATTGCCTGCCGCTCTATTCAACTCTTAACAATCGCTAGGAATATATATTATGGTATGTATATTTCTAGATTTATCAGCCTAGTGCCTAAACAAAAGCATTTTGTTCGCCTTTTTGCCTATTTACAGTTGTTCGGCTGTTGTTGTTTTCTGAAAATTTGCGTGTTTGTTTCGCTTTTTTGTTGTTTTTGTGTGTAACTGCGTGTGTGTACATAACTGAAGAACAAATTAAAGCAATCAAAACGTAAATAAAACTAATTAAACGAGTGAGAACGAAGGGCTGGTGGTGGCGGTGGTGGTGGGCAGGGGGTGGTACATGGTGGAACATGCTAGTTAAATTGCAATGCATCATCCCCCTCGGGGGCTAAAAACACAAACACAAATACGAATACGAAATACGAAACTGAAAAGCAGGCACACATAAATATAATGCAAATTATGATGTTCGCACACTGGAACAGTGAGAACACTGAAAACACCGATGTGCATGTGTTCGCTATTTACAAAAGGAAAGGCACACACATGCACAGATAAACAAAGAGGACCGCAAATGCAATCTGCTCGGGGGCCTCCAGTGTCTAGTGTTTTGTATGCCCCAAAACGGAAGTCATTGCGGCGCAGTTGTGCATGAAGGTCCTGCGATTGTTGCTGAAAAACTAGTACTATGTTACTATACTATATAGATATGTGCACCAAGAGAAACTCAACTGGGAATTTAGGTTTTTTTTTTCAAAGCTAATCTAATATGCTTTTTATATAATGGAAAAAATTCTTTTAAATTTAATAATTAAATATTTATCCTTCAGATAATCTTATTTCTCCTCCAATTTGTAATGATAAATAAATATAAAAAATTTCTAGGGTATTGAAATCACTTAAGAAGGCACCCAAAAGTATGCAGTAAAAAGGGTAACCTCGATTTCGCATTGAATTTTGATTTAAAAATATTTTCTAGCATACTTTTTGACACTAGTAATTTTTCTACTAATTTTTGATCCACAATTGCTATGTTGTATTCTTTATTTTGCTATAATTTCTCCAAATTGATTAGTTAAATAAAAAAATTCATGACCCATTGAAATCACTTAAGATAACACCTAAAAGTGTGCAGTAAAAAGATTAAATTTAATTTTTCTTTGAACCAATAGGAGTTCTGGTTTACAAATATTTATTGACTTTGTTTTAAATGCTTAAATTGTTATCGAGAGTAATAAATCATTTAAATAAATGGAATCTGCTCTAGTAAATTCCCCCTTTTGGTTTATATTTTGTTCGCCGTGTTCTAGTAGTTGGTAATATCGTGGCTTCATAACATATTCATGGCGTGTACATGCGCAGCAGCAACAACCACACGATTCCGAATTGACTTTCTCCATGGCGGATCTGCAGCGGAAGCCGCCATATTGCAATAACGTGTTGCGAGCGGAAATGGAGCCCAAAACACACACACATACACACACTCTCGCATTTCGAAACTGCGAACTGTTGCTCGGCGAACTTTTTACGAGCGAAAAAAGGAAAAATATTACATTATGCCGCACACTTTTCATCTGTGGAAATCGAATTCGTGTTGGGACTGCCTTATATGTATGTATGAAAGTCTCGGGGTTGTGTTTATTTTTATCTACAGGTAAGCAGGCACATGTACTTGCTGGATTATTGGAGTTTATCAGGCATCAGGCAGGCGTCGCGGCGATAAAAGCCTAAGCACTTGAAAAACTTTGAGGCCCTTCGTCGTCGATAATAATAATGATGGAGGCTAAGGTCCCCCCAAGAAAATCCAAGAAATTGTTGTTAAAAGTTTTCTAATTTCCAGACATTTCCAGCATTTTATGCCTCCCAGCTGTCAATTAAAGGGCGACAGCACCTGTTGCTGACAAGTCCGCCAAGACAAAAGTCAGCAGGTTCGTTTTTAGGGTTCGAAATAGGGATCCTACGCCCACTTGACACCTGCCTTGCTGTTAGTGGTTTTTCGGTCTCTCTTCGACGTTTTCCACAAAGTTTTTGGGTAACCACAATTCCCCCTTTTTTCGCCCTGGAAGATAACTCAAAGTGACACAAAAGTTTGCGGCCAAAAGTTGCGTATGAATAATAAACAGAGACATGCCAGTAAATGGGAAGATGGAAACACATAGACATATAGACAGCTAGGTGGTATATACAAAAATTAAACACTTAGTACAAGTGCCATATGCTATATGCTACGGATTTAACAGGATATTTTACAGGGGTGGAAACAAAGACAAGGTTGCTTGCTTTCAAATTGATTATGCTTTTAAGAGTCGTATGCGTTATTTGTGGGTTAACTGATTACATTCAACAGATCAATCAATCAATCAATCAGTCAATCAATCGCGTGGAAAGCAGCACAGCTCAAGGGTCAATCACTCTGTCATCAATTTATGATAATGATGACAGTCGTATTACTCTCGCTTTTAATTTTGTACATATATTTCGATTGTTTCGGTTTTTGTTTTTTTTTTCGGTTCGATTGTTCTCCTCGCTTTTAGAGGTCTTCTTTTGAGTTTTTTCGGTTATTGTTTTCTGCTTTTTTGGTTTGGTATTTTTCTGTTTATAGCCATAACTCGTGCCAGCTGGGGTTACATTGGTTGTACAGGAAATGAAAATTGAGTTTTTGAGTATACAATCAGCACATGTCTGTTATTTATATAGTTTATAGTATATTCGTAAGTGATTTTAGTTTAGTTTTTTTTTTAAGGAGAAATGCTAATCGGTTTAAGATTCAAGAGCCACTAAATGCTAGTCAAACTTAGGCGTAGGTTTTAGATATGCAAATTAGGCAAAATGCAAACAAATCAAAGTGATGTACTCAAGGAATCTAAAGGGAAATCAGAAATCAGAGAAAATTGCAAATCAGGAGAACCAAAGAAAGAAACGAAAAATACTTTGTATGGTGTTTTTTTTGTTTACCCTGGCAACCCTGGACAAAAATGTATTCCTGATACTATAGAAAAAATAGAAATCCTTTCTTGATCGTCTCTATCTAAACACGAACATCAGTTACATTAGCGCACAATAAGCTTTTGTTTCGACGGATAACAAAATGCAAAACTGAAAGGATTCGTTACGGAAAGTGTGTGTGTAGTATGTATGGTACAGGGTTTTCGCTTCGGAAGACGAACAAATACAGCACTATATATATGGTTTATGGTTCACAGATATATATACTTTTATTTTGTTTTTGCGGCATAATTAAAGAGTAGTCGGTATTGGGTATAATGCAAAGCCAAAACTGAACAGACAGATCCAAAGCCAAACGAAACGAAGCGGTGGAATCGAGACGAAAGTAAAGGTAAACATTTGCTAAGCGAAAGCCAAACAAAAGCTCATAAATTGACAGACAGAGAGAGCGAGAGGTGGAAATTGTGTACAGCAGGGGGACAGCGGAGAGAAAAACAGGGCGTATACGTAATAAATAAAATGGAACCAAGGTGGAAATAAACGCAGCATTACATGAAACCAACAGAACAGAGGAAGAAAACAAGAGAAAGCGCACTTTACAATACATATTGACTGAGGAAAGGGCTTTACAAAATATCTTATAGAACCTAGCTATGTTACACTGGTTGTTGTTGTTGGTCGGGGTTTTATTATTATAATAGTTTCTAAGGATATTCTGAATACTGGGTGCTAAAAACTGTACAAAGGTCTGAGGTCTATATACTTGGGTTCTTTTGGGTATGCTTAATGAACAGGGTACTTGTGATAGAGTTGCTATTGTTAATTTACCATTTCGGATCTGATGGCTTCGGGGGGTTGTTGGGTTGATTGTGGGTGGATCGGTGGTTTAGTTCTGCGGATTATGCGGGTCTGCTGCGAAGGGAAATATATAAAGCAAGTCCAGGCAAGAGTTCGCGATTCGTTTTTGTTTTGCAGTTAAATAGAGAGACTTTATTTTTCACATTTTTCTTTTGTTAGCCGTTTTGTTTTTTTGTTTTTTTTTCAGTAAGAATTAGGTTTTTAGCACATTTTGGTACGCTGGTATACGCATTAGTGACTATTAACTGGTTGTATATAGATATATATATATTCAAGTATCTCGTATAGCGTAGAGTTTGTAAATGTATACATATGGATTTCGATTTCGAACTAATATCTCAACCTCGAGCTGCGGTTAGTGCATGTAATCTAAAAATCATCATCAGTTTTTTGTTTCACATTTCCATTTCCCAGGGAGCTCAGCTTTCAGGGACCTTTAAAGGTATTTCTCTTTATAAATTTAGTACATAATTTCAGTTTACAGGTATGTTAGTTACAGTTAGAGTTAGAGTTACAGTTACAAGTTACGAGTTACGATTAGGTAGTCTATACAAAGTGTGTCTCGTGATCGAAATCAATGTTAAGTTATCACCCATCTGACAGGAGTTACATAGCTACAAAGCATCTGCATTTTGTTTTTGTAAGGTAAACGATTAAATTCAGTTAGCTCTTTTTGAAAAAATGATTCTACACTCATCTCTCTCCTCCGTTTAGCACTTCGTTATTGTGTTTCTTAAATACGAAAAACGAGTTTGTTATATAAGGTTTTTTTTTTATGTAGGTGGGCTCCACAGTGTTCGCCTTTCACTTTCATTTTCACTTTCGATTTCTGACATTTACAAACACAGCTCTAAACACGGACATATAGATCAAGAGAGAGAGTACGGGGTGGTCTACAAATGCGCACAACTCTCGGACTTTAGTCGTGTACCATACAATAATATATAAGGTGTCATCTCAAGTACTTTTGGCTTAAAAACACATTTAAACATTTCAACAACAAACTACTACTTTTTGTCCTTTTTTTGTTTTTTTTTTTTGGGTTAATATCCAATTTGGTTGGTTTCTCCGATTTAGCTTACGAATACATATACATATATAATATATATCATAAAGTCAATAACATTTAAAACACACACAAATATTGTTAAACTCTGTTCGCTACAAATTTGCACTAGTAACATTTATAAAGATTTCGGTTTATCTATAAACTATATATTATAACGGGCCCAAGCTGAGCCTTTACATTAGTTGTTTGCTTTTAGTGATTCTCCGTAGGTCTTGTTCCTTTGTTATTATTGTATCGATTCGTAGAGCCTATAGAGTTGGGTTCTACACAAGCGGGTTTCTTTCGGTTTTTCTGGGTTAGTTGCTCAAAATTCGTTTCTCGAGTGGATCGCCCAGCGGAGAGCTGAGATATCATAGACACGAATGTTACGTTAAAACTTCTTCTTTTATATCTTAAAACCCTATTGTTTGGTGCTTTGTTCTTACTGTGATCCCGCTGGGCAATTGGATTGCCCGCGAAGAAGTAGAAGGTTGAACCAAGGAAAAACAGACTTTGGAAACGAAAAAATATTACGATACGCACTGTATCGGTATCGACTTCTTTGAGCATCCTCCATACTCCTATCAATATAATCGCTTAGTGGCTATTTAACCGTCTATTTTAGCAAAAACTATCGATATTATCGATACTATCGAAATTAGAGAAAGTAATCGACAAATTACAAAAACAAAGAAACTCAAAAAAAACAACATTTAGTGGAAAATTTAATTTAATTTGAGCTTTAAAAAAATTTTGGTTATTCTTAAGAAATATGAATATATATATACGTTAGTTGGGCATGTTAGTAATATATTTTTGTAGTTTCTCGAAATCACTAAGTTCTACCAACACCGAAAAATAAATATATATGTAAGTACATCTGGTGGTTATATGACAAAGAATATAGCAATGAACACATTTAGCCATTTCGCATGGTTAGTAATCATAATTTGTAGTGGAATATCAAATATATCAAAAGTAAATCAAAACGAAAATGAAGGGGAAACACATAGAAAATCAGGAAATATATATATATTACTCTGTTAGCTACGGTAAGTATCAGGTATGAATGTGTTACCAAAAACGAAAGAGGTCAAAGGAAATCGTTGAATCAGTGACTAGAAAAGGTGAGTTTCATACGAGTATTCATATATATATATAAAGGTATATATAAATTTATATATATAGCATGGAAGCTGCAATCAAGTACGAAGAGTTCAATTCATTTCGTGAGCACTTTGTGAAAGCTGAAATCGTGTGGAAAACTGCTGCCAATGCTTAAGCTGCATTTAATAGCTATTTTATATCGTATGCAATATGGTTTTCAGTTTTTGGTTTTTAGTTTTAGTTGGGCTTGCTGCACATAGCTCGGTGTATTTATCATTTAGGCGGTAGTATCGTTAAATCTTTAAATCAATATATAGTATGTTCACTTCCTCGACTGCTGCGCGCAGCTTTGGTTCTCTTACTCAAATGATTAAAACGAAATAGTTTTATACCGGAGTTTTTGGTAATTTCCGTCTAGTTGGCGATGCTGGTGATTTGTCTGTGGTGGTTTCGGGTTCTGTTTTTTCGATAATTCGAAAAGTTTTGTCGCGATAAGAAGTAACAAGAAATGAGAGAGCAACAAACGAAAATTATGTGAATGTCATAGCTGTTTACTTACAAAATGTTTTGGGTATTATAATATGTACAGGGTATTAGTAAGGGTTATATTTTGAGAAACCTACCTGCTATGAGGCCGAGGCCGACGGGACCGTCTCCGGATCGCCGAGGTCCGCTCTGACCGCCGGCATTGCCGGGCGGCAGGTTTTCGTCGAACAGATCGCACATTCTGAAATCCGTGGCATGCTCCACCAGCAGCTCCACAATATCCCCGGTTCGGTCCATGATGGAGCACACCTCCTCGAAACTTCGGTCGATTAGCGACATTCCATTCCACTCAAGTATCTATAGATAGTTATTATAATATTAGATAAATCTTGAGAAATTAAAAATAATAATAAATAAATAATAATAATAAATTTATTTATTTTTGTATTTTACATAAATGTATATACATTTTTATTACTTTAATATTTGTAAAATAATATTATTTTATTTAATGTCTCAATTAAATTTTATTAAAATTTGATTTATATATTAAAAATGTTAAATTTTTTAATTTAAAATCAATAGTGAATCTATTTATATATATTAAATCTTAACTTTTGTGCCTTAATAAATTAAAAACATATTTAGTAATAGCATACGTATTTAATATTTAATCTTCTCATTTGATCCTTGATAAATAAATTTAAAACTTATTTACTATTTTCTAACTGCTTTAATTAGGCATAATTTATTATCGTGGTTTTTGGTTGCTGTGTAGCTCTAACATTCCGTGCCGAAAATCATCAATCATGAGCTATTAATTTACGACTGGCAGCTGGCCGAGTGTGCACTGCGGTTGGCCGCACTTCAGCACCCTTTGAGCCATTACGAATCAAGGCTTAGTGTGGCTTAGACTGGACCCACTACCAAACCCATACCATCACTCACCTTGTCGCCCTGCTGCAGGCCATTCTTCTCGGCCGCTCCTCCTGGAACGGTCCACACAATGTAGGCAAACAGACGGCCATCGGCTCCCGTTTTTCCGCCGACGACGCGCATCCCAAAGCCACGTGCTGCAGGGAGAAGACAATGTCAGATTTAATAAGAGCCCGGCTCACACGCACACTGGGCGATTAGAGGACGGAATAATCAATAGTGAGGCGGCGTCCCCCCTAAAAAAAAAGAAAAGCGGGGATTGCGACTAGGCACGTACACTCGCAGATACAGATACAAATTTCGGGCATGTGGCAACAATTTGCGTTGATTTCATTTGCACTTTGCAGTGGCAAACCGAAGCGAAGCGAACCCCGAAAATCCCGACCAGCCCACGTTGCGTATACGTCATGTCGCCCGCCTTGATATTTGTGTTTGTCTACCAAGTTTTGGTTTTTGCCCAGTCAGCGATTTCTGTGGATTTTCCAGCATTTTTCTTTCTCCCAAATTTGACACAAATTTATTTCTTCAACATAAACCTGAACCCTTCGGACATTTATAACAATTTAAGTGGACAAAGACGTTTAGGGCGACTGCTTATTTGACTTATAAAATATTTATTCTACTTATCATAAATCTTTTAAAATTTTATAATTTGCTAAGAACACAGGTAGTATTTTTTTGAGAACTACTAGAATTCGTTTGCCGAAATCACAACAATTTAATTAATTAAATTGCAATTTCGGGGGAGGCTGCAGCTCAGTTCGGTTTTAAGTACTTATCATTTGGCGCAGAAAACTAATTTCAACAATTTGTGCACCGAAAACTTGGGCAGGCGGATTTCCTGTTCTGCAGACAATGGCCAGGAAAGTTAACCAGCCACCGGAGGAGCGGCGATGACAATGAAATTGTGTCTACAAAGGTGAGAGATCTTCAGGGAGCAGGAAGGGGATTAAAGGGAAAAGGACGAAGCCGGAAGGACAGCCTGGCAGGTCCAAGTTTTGCGCAGGAAATGGCGGCAAACTTGGGCAGTATGCAATAAAATGTTGCGCATCCGCCATCCCTGTTGATTCAGGCGCATTGATACCCAATTAGGATAAGGCGACATTTTCCTTTCCACCCGCTGTTTGTTTGAGTGTGTTTTAATCAAAAGTTTTTTCCACGGCCATCCTCGCCTTAAGACTGCAATAAAAACGATATAAATAAAACGCAAATCCTTTTGCTGACAGCAGCGAAAAGGCCCAGATTATTCGATGACGCCACGCTTTTCTGGATAACTCGCGATTTGATGCACTCAGAAAAAAGAGCCCTAAAAAGAAATATGTAAACAAACGTAACCTATCATTTAATAATTGGGAAAAGATTAAATTGTCACTAAACTTTAAAAATCCACTTAAAAAAGAAAAGATTATTAAGAATATCATTTAAATAATCGGTATAAAATTCCTACTAAAGTATAAAAATCCATTTTAAATGGAAAATGGGTTAAACAAATAAGTGAATGGCTCCATTTCACCTAAACTTTAAATTCTTTTAAAATAATAAGATACAAAATATGCTGCCGAGTAATTGTTCAGAATTACAACAGAAATTGTTTTTGTTTATTTCTAGAACGAAATAAATATTTTATTTTAGCTTCTCACTAAGTGCAAAAAAACAGTTTAATGGTTAGATGTTTTATTCAATCTTTGTTATAAAAATAATTATTCAGGATTAAATTCCCATCTCTTTTGAAATAATTCTTGATTTCTAGCAGTAAATAAATATTCCATTTTAGTTTCTCGCTGAGTGCAGTCATTTGCCTTTAAGCCCGCACTTAACATGGAGCTGAGTGAAATTTTCGATTCGTTTTGGCCATAAAAATCATGAGTGGAGGTAAGGTAAGGTCCTTGTTTTTGGCCATGTCCAAAGTCCTTTTGTCTCATTGTCCAGTGTCCGATGGCCTTTTCCTTTTCCTTTTGCGTACTTTCGCCATTCCTCGGACGGTTCAGACTTTTATGATACAATTTGTTTGCCGGATGGCCAACGATTTTTTATGTGGCCATCATTGGGATTTAATAAGCCGCCCGGCACAGCCACACAAAGGTGTGTTGTTTATGGGTTTGAGGGTTGGGGTTCGGGGCTCCGAAGGGTTTATTCCTATTTGGGGTATCCGTTTCTTTTGTTGGCCGAAAGGGCCATAAACATGCTGGCAAATTGAATCAACATTTGTATGTAGGTCATTAGGTTGGCTCACTCAGAAGTTTCACTTTGAAAGCCTATAGCCTTTAAGCCTATCACATTTTTTTGAAAAAATCATTTCTCTATGAATTTTCCTTTAATTGGAAAACTATCTCTAAGCTCTCTGCCTTAAAAAGTCTTCTCCCTTTCGTTTCCTTGGCAAGTTTTTAATTTGTGCCATGTCCTTGCATCCTTTCTGCCAGGCAGACACACATGCTGCACATCCTCGTAATGGCATTAAGTGAGCAAACTTTTAGCTGACACACATTGAACGACTTAATCGATGCACACACCTGCATCCTGTTTCCCAGGATCCTTGCATCCTTTTTGCTTCCTTGCTTTTGCCGGTGAAAACTGGGAAATCGAGTCATGGAGTCATGAGCGTAAGCGATTTAGTGGCTTCTATCGGTTGCTATAAAAATTGTCTCTTAATTAAACTAGCAAAGCGAGAGACATGCAAAGATAGCACTAGTATCCACTGACTGGCTATCAGGTTTTCAGTGGGCTAAACCAATAAACCAGTTTAAGACGAAGAGCATCCTTTAGCAAAGAGCACGGAAAAAAGGAAATATGTTAGCCATATATGAAAAAAACTTATTAGCTTTTATTATTTTATATTTAAGGTTTTTAGCAAAGAAAACGTTTTTATTATTAACTAATTACCAAAAATATAATTTTATAAAATATACAGTTTGTTACACAGCAGTTGAAAAGGTTCTTTAGTTTAAAAAGGTTATTATCATTGTTTAACTTTAAAGTAAAGTAAATATTCCTAACTTGTATTGTATAATAAAATGTAATATACTTTAATAAAACTAGAAATAATGATAAAAATTAACTAAATTATAATAGACTTGTAATATTATATTATTTTATAAAATTATTATTTATCAATATATTTTCTTTGTTTTTCTTGGTGCACCATGAGGGGAAATGGCTCGTTTTGAGTGACTTGAGAGGCGGAGAGCTATGAAGGGCAGCCAGGCGAACAGTTAGATGTGATGGGCGCCAAGTGGGCGTGGCACATGGCCACCTGTGGCTGAAGAAACGAGAAAACCTAAGCACGCAATGCCAAAAACCGGAGGTTCGTGATTCGCCGCAATAAATGGATGTGTGTATGGATGTGTGTGTTTGTGGCTCATGAGGCTGCATAAAATTTCATTAGGCGTGTTAAGGCGCCATTTGCAGCTACACCTGGTTCTTATCCTGGCCATAACCCCCTGCTAACCTCCTCCTAACCCCCCTCTAACTATTAACAGTTGCTATCGGAACACTTAAAGCGATGCATAATTGAAGAGCCCCGCTGAAATTCGGTCCTTACAATTGAATTACACGGTTGCCAATGGAGAGCCTAATTAGCCATGCGAATGCAGCGGACTAATTAAGCTCACCTGCTTGCACCTGAACCGGCGAATGTGAAATGTTAATGTTAGGGTATGGGTTCGGCTTCGGGGAAAAAGTGTAGCTCAAATTACAAGGCGAAGGCATCAACATTCAGTCAATATATCAAGGCGAAATTGCAGCACAGCTGCCACAACCACAAGCCATATCCTTCGTCCTCGTATCCCTCATATATATATACTATATGTCCTGTGGTTAAGGAGCTGAGGATAAGGATAAGGTAGACGTACAACAAATACCAGGAGCAGCCAAGGAAATGGTTTAGCACATTAAAATTCCACTTGCTTCGCTGCATATCAAATATGCCGTTCTAAGCAGGCACACTAGATATACTTGGTATATATATATATAGACAAGAGTGGGTTTAACTCATGATATCGCCTGCATATATAGTATACCCAACCACCCACATTCCGCTGCTGCAGCTGCTTGTGCGTATTTGTTGGGTATTGACATTTTTTTATGATATGCAAATTGAAATTTTATATTAGCAAGCGCACGTCGCACAGGTGGCTAACCGATGGAAAAATGCTAGGAAAAACTCTCGCCGTGTGGCGGCTAGTTATTTTGATTGGTATTATATAGGCGCTCGTTAAGAGCTCTCTCGAGAAGATCCCACTAAATGCCACGTACTCCAAGGGAATTATGAGTGGTTATCGAGGGCGATTTCAAGGGTTTACTTTGGTATTTGTGAGCTTAATTTATTTAATAAATTGATTAAAAATTATCGATGGCGATTTCAGGGGTTTACTATGATATTTGTGAGCTTAATTTTTTAAAAAAATTGATTACAAATTTAGGACTATTTGTAAGAGTAATTCATTTGCTTTTCCAGGAATATTTCATCATTGAAAAGAAAATAATGATTATATAGCAGCCAGGACAGTTCTGTGAATTTTTCAATTGCGCAAAGTCATAGATATAAATGTGAGATGAGTTTTTAATAATGAGTATGAAATATTTCAAAAGCAAATACTACATATAGGTATATATATAAACAAGCGAGTGTTCAAGAAATTGTTATTTTATTTCCGAGTAATTTATTTGCTATTCTAGGAATATTTCATCATGAAAAAGAAAGTAACGACTAACCAGAAATGATTTTTAATAAAAATATTTTTATAGGCACTTAATTAACAGTTCTTGGAATTTTTTCGTTTGGGCGCAGTCATAAATATAAATAAAATAAAGATTTGAGTATTCAATGTTCAAAAAGTAAAAAGTAAGTAAAAATTTGATTTACCTTTCGAAACTTTTTCACAATATTTATCTTTATTAATCAAGGATCCTGATTTTTATATATTTTCTTAATTTAGTTAAGCAGTTTAATACATTTTAGGTCCTACTTAATTTTCTTGCTTTGTTAGATTCTCTTTCTTGACCATACTTTCTACTTCCGAGAAACTGGCAATCAATTTCTACTTGGAGCTGTGCTATTTCGCAAAGTTTTCACTTTCAACTGTAGTCTGCTGTCCCCTCAACCTGTTTTTCTAGTTACCAGTCTTCTGCCAGTCTTTTGAAATTTGAAATTTGGCTTTGCCCTTGTCGAGAGTGCATCTAAGTGTCGAGGAGGAAAATGCCTTTTCCTTTTACCTCCCCCTCCTGACCAAGCAAATGTTGGCTACTTTTTTCAGCTGCATTCGACTTTGGCATGTGTTCATGAACTGGGAAGCTGGAAAACTGGGAAAAAGAGCAGGCCATGCATGCATGCATATGCCAAACATTCGGGGGCATTATTATTTATGGCCAGCAAGGCGTAAAGTTTTCCATTCCTTCTGTTCGATTTTTTGTTGATTTTTTCGTTGCACGTCCTCGGGGGAGGCAGAAATGCCCCATTTAAATTTTTGCCTTTGAATCCTAATGCCCACGTTCCTCCTGCTATTTTTTTTCGTATTGATTTTCATGCTCCGAGAGTCCGCTGTCGATAATTAAAAATTCATTTGGCCTGCTGGCCCCTTGAGGTATGCAACAAAAATGCATATAATTAAAATACATCCACAGGAAGTGGGAAACAAAGCGAGCGAATAAAAACCATGGCATATACGTAGATATTCACACACACACAGCATACCCTTAGAGCCAAATGACATTGGCCAACAATGCCGAACAGCTAAATGTTGGGGTGTCCTTGCTGCAACTGGGAAATGGGAAAAGGGATGTGGAAACTGGGAGCCCAGAGCTCCTCTCTCAGTTGCCTTTATGTCGATGAAATCCGCTCAGTTGCTTAATCTGCTACCAGTCAGCTTCCGCTTTGGGTTTCATTAAGGTCCACGGGGAACCAAACCACATTATCCCTGCTGCCTGCTGCCTGCCGCCTCCCGTAGCTCCTGCACTTTGCTACTACGGGGGAATTAAGGTACCAAACCAAACCCACCCACAGATACACCCTCGAATACCCACAACCGACTTCGTCGCTGCTCTGTCGAATTAGCATAACCAAACGTTGTAATGAGTCCTGTTTACTTGCCCATTTCCGGTGCGGTTCCAAGGGCAGGACAACCGAGGAACCGAGCAACCGAAGCCGGATGGGCGCGGACAGGCAAACCGACCTCAATCTCCATGGCACACAGAAAGAAATTACTTATTCACTTTTGTAAGAACAAAAGAATTAATAAGTTTCATGAAAATCACTTAAAATTGCGTCGGAAAGTATGCAGTGAATAAATCTCTTGGACATCTAGGTTAACAATATATTGTTGCATACTTTAAGATACCTTTAAAAATGATTTTATTTCCCTTTAAAAAATTGACCAACCTTTATCGTTAAAAAATCAATATAAGAAAACCTGTATATTTGTGGAATATTTATTTTGTAGTAAATCAATTTTTAACACTTTGTTGCATAATTTTGGACACCTTTATAAATGAATTCCACGTAAAAGGAAGATTTCTTATTTCTTTCTAAAAGTTGATCATAAATTTAATCATAAAATATTATTAGAAAATCTGTAAATTTTCCTAAAATTTGTTCTGTATCTGCCGAATTAATTTCTACAGTGCACAGTCCCACACGCACTCTCACCCAATCCCGGCCACACATTTATCTAAGCCCCGGGGGCTTCCAGTGCCTGGTGTCTTAGTCTCTAAGCCCCAAAAACTCACTGCGGTGCGCCTTGTCCGTGGGATCCCGGCGCAGAATGATGCGCCGCTTAGATGCACAAATCGGCCCCGAATCCACGTCGTGTATTACGATCCTAATGGCCTCGCCGTCCATTGATGTTTGCCGCCGCGGCGCCTCCAAATCCTCCAGATTGGGGCCCGTGAACGAGGCCATGGGCGGCGGAATCGAGGATGGCGGCACGGCCGGCAAAGCACCGCGATTCTGCAGCATTGCTATGTCGGGTCTGCATAAAAAGAGATAAGATTGGGTGTAACTCTTAAATTGAATGTTATGAAGCTAATGATTTGGGAAATATTTTTAATCACATGTTATCACTATACTGAAAAAATTATTCATCTTGAATTTTAAAAATATTATTCGCACTTTTTAGAAAAAGTGTTTTTAATTTAAATAAATATTGACAATTATGAAAGATTTTTTTTAGTTTATATTTAAAATTTAGAAAAGGCTTCGTTAATTTTAAATTCATGGCGATTTAAAAAAAATCAGGGAGAATATTATAGCATACTGGCATTAAAATAAATATATTTTTAATCAGTACAATATAAACCTGGACTCCAACAGCAGTAAAACTAACTAAAAATCACCCTCTGTAACAAACTGTAACAAATTAAAGTTTTTAGATGGTTTCAGGTATTAAGCCCATATTTTTTTCAGAATTTTAAATTCCCCCCAATCGTTTCGACCCTCGAAAAAGGTTAATACTTACAGCTGGGAGCCGCGTCGCCGCATCCGTCGGTCATCGTCGACGGTGAGCACGGGGCTTCCCTTATCCGGCGAGCCCGGCGAGTCGTCGTTCTGGATGTCCTCCGAGGGATGTGGCACCCGGAACGAGGGTCTCCTCGAACCGGGCAGCTGGATGGGCGGCATGATGCCCCCCTCGCCCGGCGACCTCTGCAGCTGAGTGGCGGGCGTGGCGCCACCCTGCGTCAGCCCGGGGGCAAACACATCATAGGCGGACTTCCTGTGGGGTCACAAAAAGGAAGCAAGGTTAGATTTGATTACCTTCCCCTTAGAAATAGCTCCCCCTTACCTGCGCGGCATGGCCGGAATGCCCAGGCCCGCTCCATCCGCCCCCAAGCCCAACGCCGGTCCACCGCCGCCCATGCTGCCACCCACGGGTCCCGTTTTCATGTCGTCATCGTAGCTGTGCTGTCGCGCCACCCGCGATCCCCTACGCGACTGCATCCGGGACAGGGGCGCGCCGAAGGGGGGCTGCCCGTCCTGGCCATCGCCCCGCGGCGGACTGTTGGAGCGACTGGGCGCCATGCTGCGGCCACCTTTCAGTTGCTAAAAGGGAGTTTAAAGGGTTTTTAAATTTAAGTTTTTTTTAAAGCTATGATTTCTTGTTCATTTTGAAAAGTTTTTAAGGGATCTAAATCCTAAACTTTACGAGGTATTGATTTTTAATGAATGGATTTATAATTGACTTTTTATAAATATGTATACTTTTTTTATACTAGAAAATAATAAATTGTATGTATCCCAAACCAAAATAAATAATGATATTGAATCATAACGTTTCACATTCGATTCTAGCTTTTTAACAAAAACATCTTAGTTAATTGAAGAACATATTATAAATAAAATTCATTATTTAATTACCCCATAACATTTATTTATTTGTACACAATAATTTAATTTTTAATAGACTATTAATCTAAAAGTTAATCAAAGTGGTTAGCTGAATAAAAAATAATAATACAACTTTTGGTCTAAAAAACATTTAATTTTAAATATAGGGCATTCACAAACTTTTAGACAAATCCGAAAATTTAAACAAACAAAGTTATATGAGCCATGGATAAAAATGGTAAAAAGGTGTGTCTAAAACCGGAATTTTTTTAAATAGTAATTTAAAGCTTTGTTCAAGACCTTGAAGGAACTCCTTTGACCTAAAGTCAGTGCCTTAAATATTTTTAAAAGTAAACTGATAGCTTACCCGTTCCAACTCTTTCAGCGAGGCTGGCGAAACGTCTGAGTGGCGTCGTAATTCAGGACTCCTCGGCGGTGCAAGGGCGGCTCCATTGCTGGGCGCCAGCGTTTGCGTGCTGCTGCCCAACTTGGCGTCCGAGTGCCGGCGCTGCAGAGCCTCCAGGACGGGAACGTCCAGCATGGAGTCCGTCGAGTCCTGTGGAATGCACACCCGCGAGGCCATTTTCCGGCGGCACACGCTGCAACGCCACATGGTCTGGGGAAAAGAGGATGAGGAAAATCAATTTCCATTGCTGTGGCAACAGGGGGCGGCATCAAGTACACGCAGCGTTAATTAAAAATTGTCCAGCTTAGCGCTGGAATCTATTTGTGGCCACGGCCGAGCACAACAGCGTCCGCTAATATTTATTAGTGGCCAGCGGAAAGCGAAAGCTCAAGAAAACCCATTATGCTGGGCAGCGAAAATAAATATTAATTACTTTCAGAACAAAACTTTTTCTTGGCCCTCGGAGAACCCCGGCGAGCGTCGAGCACGTTTGCGGAAAAATCCTATTTCCAGGACACACACCCACACAGGGAAAATACAGGGACACAGGTGCGCCGCCTGCATTTTCATCCTCCATCATCCCCTCAAGTCCGCCTCGCTGCATTTTCCACTACCTTTTTCCTTTTTCCGCGGCACGCCCGCACAATGCTCGTTACATTTCCACCTGGCTGCTGATTCATTTTGCCCAGCGGCTTCAATCGTCATGTGTGTCAGCCACGTCCTTTTCGTCCTTTCCTGTCTCTCCCTCTCCCTTTTTCCTATTGCCGCCCACTTTTTCCCCCATATTCAATGGCTGCCCCGGCGGAAGCTGCCGCCATTGTAATTAAGTCGCTGCACGCAGAGAAACCAATAGGAAATGGTCAAAAATTAGGATTGAAAGGTAAGCAAAACAGTTTTAAAAAAATATCTGATAAGTTTTTTAAGCATTGAAAAGTTTTAAATAATTTTAAACAACATTTTTACAGAATTATGTTTAAATGGTAAACAAAATATATATGTGTCATGGAAATATCTGATAAATTTTAAAATATTTAACATTAATGAGGAGACTTCAAAACACTTTATAAGGTGTTTAAAAATATGCAATATTATTTTCAAACAGCAAGAATGAATTACAAGTTCCGATATGGTTTTTTTGAAGCATATTTTCAGGCAGCTTCAAACATAAACACTAGCATTTCTTAATTTTTTCTTTTGATTTCATTGCAGTATTATTGTCGTTTAAGTTTTTTAATAATTTTTATAATGAAAGGAAAATTTTTAATTTTTTGCCCATTTTTTCTACGTGCACCTATGCACATGGCCTGTACTGTACGCCGCAGCTGCAACTAGAGCCCGGCTCTGGTTTATTGCCTCTGTGTGCTCCCCAGTTGCGTGCTCTGTAATTACACGGTGCTGCAGTGCGGCAGTGTGGCAGCCAGTTCATGATCCCATCGAGAAATCGACTGAAAAGTTATTTCCTAGCTGCCACAACAGCAGCAAAAGCAGCCAACCACACTGCATGCTCATGAAAATTTAAGATTTATTTTGCGTTCATCGCGTATGCAAAGGCGGGCGGAAATCGATTTTGATGTGAGATGTGAGAGCTTAAGTCTAAGCAGCAAGTCGAGCATGAAGCTGGAAATAAGCCATACCACATTTCTTAATAATCAGCAGTCATGGGAAAATATATCTGAAATTTCGGTGTGTCATGTGATGGCAAAACCATCAAAATCTATTCAAATTATGACAATGTTGTCACAAAGTTTTTGAGATTTTAGTATGTGGCTCTAGTGGCTGGAAACTAAAAGTGTGTGTCTAAATAAATAAATAAATATATGCTAACCTACTTATTAGGCATGAAATTATTTCTATAAATAGGCTTTAAATTTCATTTAATTAAACGTAATATTTGCTAGAGAAATATTCAATCTTTTATAATTGACCAAAGGTATTTTTAATTGGTAGTTTTGGTTTTGGCAGGAAAAAATCGAAGCCCACATTCAAGCTTTTAGATTGGGGTGAAAATAAATGTGGGTTTGAAAATCCTAACCCTAGTTCAATTTTCTGCACTTGAAAATAAAAGTAAAATATCGTATTCCTAGCCTATAATCTAAATGCGAAGTTTAAGCTTCCATTTCCCTTTCTCCAAGTGGCTTAAACAAATTCCCATTTGGCTTTACCCACAGCAGCAGTTCATGAACAATCGAATGCCTGGTTTGTGCCCAGTGTTGTATGCTCTAAATGATTATTTCAGCCTTTAGCAGAGGAGCCTCCAAATGTCCAGGGATGGGACCACCGCAATACAGGACCCATTACTACACCCCATACCATCCCACCGCCTACTCATCCATCGGGTAGACCCATAATTACACTGGGTGGGTATATAACAGGCGGTTGTGTGTGTTGTGTAGTCAACGCCCATGAACATCAATTTCAATTAGCCAAAGTGGCCAGGTTGACAGACAAACGTTAAATTTTATGTTCAGGGCGTTGGCGTGGCTTCTTGACAAATTACCACAACTTCGGGTGAAGACAATGTTGCATGGTGTGGTTATCAATGATCATTATGCGGCAAGTGTTGATAGCAAAATCGGAAAAGGGATGGGGATGAGTAGAGAATCCGAGATGGACAGCAGTGCAACCGAACTCCCCGGACTGCCGCGGGTATGCCATTTAATCTCGTTAATTCGGCCTTTATCTTGTTAATGTCCCGCGATGAATAGGCCGCAGTTAAGCTTCGCAGTTTCCCAGGCCATCGTTCATTGTCCATCGACCATTGTCACCGAACGAACCCCTTTTCGCCACAGCCTGTAATCTAATTTATGTGCACTGACCCATGCCCATTCTATTCCCCCTTTGGTCCACCCACCAAACCACCCACGCAGTCATTATCACGGCAAAAAATTGCAAATTCCCGCTTTGTTTGCGAAATCGAGTTTAAAACTTTGAAAGGCTGAAGAATATGCTTTGTTCTTAAATCACAGCTGACGAAATACAACGTAATGTTATAAAAAATATCGTAATTAATTAGTTTATAGAACCATGATGCTTAAATGCATTATATGTAATTTTCTCACAAAATTTGTATTTTTTATAGATTTTTTTTCCAATCAAAAATATTTCTTCAATATTATTATTATTATATTTCTATTGTGTTGCCTTGTTTCGGACAAAGTACTGATTTTTTGTGGGAAATTAAGATTTCGGACCTGTGAAGGAAAAAATTGTCGAATATTAAAGTTTGCAGATTAGAATGCCAATGGATTTTAGATTTTATTACTAACTCAACGCGGTATGACAATTTATTGCCTTGACAAAATACTGCTTTTTTAAATAAAAAATGTAAATATATGTACATATAACTTAAAAGTTTTCAAAAAATCAAGAATTTTGTAGTGAAAAGTAATGAAAGTTTTGCGTTCCTTAGTTACGTGTTTTTTTTAAATATATTTCCCAGTTAAAATTAACTTGATTTTAAGTCAGCTAAGGTAACAAATTTTCCTATTAAAATTAATTATAACACCTTTTATGGTGAAAGTTTAAACATATCTTAAAGTATTTTCTTTGACCTGACCTAGCTGAAAGTTATTTCCATGTTTAGAAGTCATTTTCCCTCAGTGCCCGACGCCCTCGCCTGTTTTCTTATTAATGAAGTGCCGCAGCGGCGGCCGCTGTGTTTATTTGTGCCGCGCGGATGGCGCATTGCCTAGTGGCCCGGAAGGTGCATCCTGCATCCTGGAAACCTCTTTCCATACCCTATATACCCTACCCTGACTTACCGCATCCTCGTGCTCGTCCAGCTTGCTGTAGCTGGCGCAGTCCTCGCACACTCGCTGCTGGCACTCGAAGCACGTCTTGTGGTAGTCGTCCGGCTTGAAGGACTTGAGGCACACCCTGCAGGCGCCGGCCCGTCGTCCTGGCTCCTGCTTGGCCGCTGCCCCGCCCCCTCCTCCGCCTGCCGTGCTGTTATTGTTGTTGTTATTTAAAGTGCTGCCGGAATCCTGCTGCTGCTGCTGCTGTTGCTGCTGGTTTTGATAGCTGGGCGAGCCGTAACTGCCGCTGGTATCCGCATCCGTCGGCACCAACGAGGGGCGTGGCGACATTTTATTAACTTTGAAAGGGGAGAGACAGAATGGGAAAATGCATGGGGTTATGTAATCAATTACTGAGGCAGCCAACCAACCAAACCCCTTGGAAACTTGTTGATTTTCCGCTGATTGCATGGAACTGACCCACAAATGCAGTGTGTTCAATCCCCATTCTATGCTTAATTTGTTGTCAGCGCACATAATTTGTTTGGTCCTCGCTAATTGCCCAAGCAACAGGCTGGCAGGCAAATGCAATAAATAAAATAATAATCGGCTAAAACGGAAATTTCTGACAGCCTTCGTTGCCCATTAAATGAGAGATGGCCGAAAGGAAGTTGTGTAAATGGCAGCAAAATTTGATTATTACCGATTGGTAGTTAATGAAAAATGTTAGTGGTCAACAGAGAAGTCTTTAATATTTATTATTTGTAAGCTATGGAAATTATGATAAAGTAGTTTACAAATTTATATTAAAATTCTATTTTAATTTTATGAAAAAAATGTTTCTGTATATTTAAAAAAAAAAAAAAAAGTTTAAATATCTAATAAAAATATTAATGGTGCTTATTTACATTTTCGAATTTCGATTTTCTCTTTTGGATTTTTATGTCAAGTCGTTTTGCCTGCAGGACTCACCAATCCTTTTTCTTACCCCTTTTCTACTAGTTTAGGTTGCAATATGCAACACTTAGGAATAAAATATTCACCCTGACACATTAATACATATTAATATCTATTAATAATACAATTTAGCCAGCAAATGTTATGATAAGCAGGGACATTTAAGCAGTCGGAAATGTAAATAAAACAAAGTTGATGACTTGTATAATTTATGAACTTGCCCGTGAGACTAGAGCACTCTACTAAATTACATAAAATCACTTATGCAACATTTGATTTTTCATTCTAAGTGGGTTTTTTTAATCTGCAGCGGAAAAAACCTGACAAACTGAAGCCTTTTTCCCTCAACTGGCGCACACATTTATATGATTATATATGTGCTTTATACACCGGGTGTGTGTGTTTTATATTCACATACATATATTTCACCCTTGAGAAAATGGTGAAAAGTTTTATGCGGCCCGGAAAAAGTCGCGGTGCATTAGTCACAGTCAGGAGACAAGGACAAAGGAGCTCTTTTGTTGTGTGTGCCGCCTTGCATTGCTCATACGCACAGTTGCACCTTGTGCTTTTTCACCTTTCGGCAACTCACGCTTGACATTTTCAGCCGTAAAAGTGGCAAAGCAAATATAACAAAACAATGCTAGGAAAAGCGAGCGAGGAAAAACCTTTTTCTTTTTGTTTTAAAAAGCGATTTCACCTGCTCAAGGGAACACTCAGGTGGCAGCAGTAGCAAAAAAGATAAAAGAACCCTGCACAACTATTAAAGGATTTTGCAAGTTTTTCTGCTTTTAAATTATGTGTCAGCTCTTCACTGCGGTTAGCCACGAAAATCTGGAAATTTGCCAACTATCTGGAGGGCCCTTTTCTGCAGTTGCATTTCTTTTTTTTTTTTAGTTGTTTTAAAAGATGGAAACACGAGTGGCGAAAATATTTGCCCAAATTATGTGCACAAATCTGTCTCGCTCGCTTTTACGACCCCTGACTAAATAAATATCGTGAAATAAGATTTCATTTCGTTCTAATAAATCGAATGGCTTGGCCATAAAATCAACAAGCCACAGATTTCGCTTAGCTGGTGGCCAACTAAAATGTGATAAAAATAACACCAGAGTCAACACAACATTCTCATGTTTCCCGCTGCTTCTTTGACTGCTACTAAAAAAATACAGCAGGGCTCAAGAAAATAGTGACGTAAGAAATTTGAAAAGTTACTTCAATAATTTTCCATTAAAAAAAATCAACCTAAAAAGAAGTATAAAGCAATTTAATTTTTTTATTTTTACGTTAAAAATTTTTAATACATTTTTAAATTCAGCAAAAATCTTTTAAATGCAATTTATAATTAATTTTTAAATAAACTGATATTATAAATATTTTCTTAACATATTTTTTCGAAATTTATTCATGTACTTATCTAAAAAGTTCGATTCCTATTATTACTTTGAACACGGCTGTAAACTACGGCTCATACTGAAACAGAAGTCACGGATTTTATTGACTTTCTCGCAGCATTTATGGACCCCCATAACAATGACAGTGTGTGAATGTCGACGACTTGGCATTGCAGCAAACCACTGACCCCTTACATTATTCAATATGCGATGCAAACGAGCGTGCGGAGCAAATATTGCGTATACGCACCGTTAGCCCCCGAATGCTCATTGCTGAAAGTTACGTGAGCACGAGCACTCGCAAAAAAAACAAGAAAAACAAAAAACACACCCACCGCACACAAAGTTTGCACAAAGTTTAGCTAGCAAGCAGCTTTACGGGCACTTGTATGAAAATTCATGCCATAAATTCGCATGCACTTACGGCAAGGATAACCTAAGGGATAACCCTATACCCACACATATGTTCTCCCCTAATACTTACCTTTGTCTGTGACGGTGAGCAGCGAGGAGGAAATCGTAGCCTTCATCTTGTTCAGGGCCCCCGTTTGGGAGGCCCCGCCCCCAGAATCCGCTGCATGTTGCTGCCGTTCGCTGGTCTGCTCATCGGTGGCCACCATCTGCGGAAAAGTAGCAGAGGAAAAGTGGAAAAGGTGAGAGGTTAAAGGTTAGCTAAGTAAATGTGGATAAATATTGGCGTTGAGGAGCTCTGAGTTTGATTTGCGGCAGCTGTAAATCTTTATTCGGGTCTCGACTGGCCATGAACATAAAACGGGAGCCAAAACGACGAGATTATTGGCCGTGTATTACTGCGCCAAGTTACCCGCTTTCATCAGCTAAAAGTCTTATGCAACTGTTGGCTTTCGATTTTAGTTAAAAGGACCTAAGGCTATCTGGGGAATATTCAAGCTATAACAAGAGGGAACGTTATAGTCGGATGCCCCGACTATCAGATACCCGTTACTCAGGTAAAGGGAGTGCGAGGGAGATGGAGATAGAGATAGAAAACGTTGATCACGCATAACTTTTTAACGAATGGTCCGATTTGAAAAATTTCTTCTACATTTCGATAGGTATTGATAAACACAATAAAACTGCATTTTTACTTTTCCAAAATATTAAAATTTTTAAAATCGTATATAAGCGATGGTGGGCGTTAGAGGGGGCGTGGCACCATTTTGAAACAAACTTGCGCTGCGTAGGAATTCCTAGAATCTGCATGCAAAATGCCAATCTTCTAGCTTCTATAGTTTCCGAGATCTCAGCGTTCATACGGACAGACGGACAGACAGACAGACAGACAGACAGACAGACAGACAGACAGACGGACAGACGGACAGACGGACATGGCTAGATCGACTCGGCTAGTGATCCTGATCAAGAATATATATACTTTATGGGGTCGGAAACGCTTCCTTCTACCTGTTACATACTTTTGCACGAATACAATATACCCTTTTACTCTACGAGTAACGGGTATAAAAAATGTACACATTTTTGTAGTGTACAATAATTATTTAATTTAAAATAACCTCTTCTTTGGTCTAAATAATTGAATAACAGTTCTTGATTGATTTTTATTCAATTTTAATTTTTGTGTATTCCTCAGCTTGACTAAACTAGACGAATTCTCTACCTGAAAGCAGGTTTTCCCAACAGCCAGGTTATTACCCTGATGTTTCTTAGATTTTCTCTGTTTTTTTTTTGCGCAGTCATCACATCCACGCAGGTGAAAGTAACGCGGTGCTTTTTATTTGATTTTTTCCTGTATTCTGCTGGAGGCGTCTGAAGCGCAACAAATTGCCAAGAAATCGTAAAGTGTGGCAAGTAATTTTTGATTAAACAACGGAGGACCAAAGGCAGAATCCAGCAGCCGGAGAGGCTTTCAAAAATTGCCGTCATTCTTTTTAATGCACACACCGAAACCTGTGAGAAGGGGGATTCACCGGGCTTAGCTGTCTGTGTGTGTATATGTGTCTGTGTTTTTTCCCGGGGAGAAGAATAACAATTGGAGGCGACTAGCCGACCAGCCGAGCCCCGAAAACATAAGTGCTGCCCTGCTCTGTCAGCATTTTATGAAGTGGAAATTTTCTATTTGCCAAAGCGCCAACGAAACCGGAACAAACGGCCCAACAGCACCGTTGAATACACAGAGAATAAAATGTTTATTTGGCTGGGAAGCACACTTAGACTTTTGGGTACAAATAAGAAAAAAATCTAGATTTATGGGAATACAAATAAAACACTTTAAAAATATTAGAAATACAATTTTTAATCCGTAAAATATTTAAGATAGAACACTTAATAAATTAAAAGATTACATATTAAAAATGTATTAACTAATTTTATTTAAGTATTTAAATTGATATTGATTGCACTTGAACTTAAAATAAAATCAATAGAGCCTTGAAATATAGTTTCTAAATGGTTATTACTTATTGAATAAACCAAGTATTCCTAACTAATTATTTCCCTTAATACACCTGTCTGTTTAATATTTAATCTAACATCTGGTAAAAATTCTGCCATAGATTATAATATTTTTCCGTATGCACTAAGAACAGGCCTCATATAGTGCAGCCTTCTCGTTCGCACAGCGCAAATTACGCTAAGTGCTTTTGGCTGCAGCGTTTTCGGTTGCCCACCTTTAGGCGGGAGGGGTGAGGATAGGGACGAAGGGCTTTGGGGGGCTAAGACTAGGGGGATTTCGGGGACTATAGTCCCAGGATTCAACTCTCTCTGGCAGCAACTAAGCGGCATCTAGTGTCAGATTATGGCCGCTTTGTGCTCAGCTTGGGCTACATTTTTGATGATGTCATTTGATGTCGGCCTGGTAATATTCATGCTGCGGATTTATGGGCCTCCTTTGCTCCTTTTTCGGTTGGGCCAACCCATGAAATCTTAGTGTAATGTATAGTTGTTTGTTTGGGTAGTCTTCTTACCTTCCTTCTAGACTTAAGTATAGGTATACCCCTAGTACTACCCAGAAAACCCCACTTAATTTATGTGCTCAGGTGTCTGACGCCATTTTTCTTACGCCAGGGTAAACTACTCTGCATTCCTCACGGTTTCACCTCCTCACACAATTATTGCCGTGTTAATTTTGTCATTTATTATGATTTTTTTTTCGTTGGGTCTTTTGGCGTCTGGGTCTTTTGGCCCGAAGCCGCAAATAGTTTCTTGTTTAGTGCCGAAAATTATGTGTTGACGTTTAAGAGCTGCCGTTCTGAGTTTCTCGCTTTTCCCCTCGATTTTCCCTCGCTTTTCCGCACGCTTTTTCCGCACCACAACAACAATAATATGGCGCGCAATATGTGCGCCCTTTATGGCCGCAAAGTATGCTACATAAAACAGCAGTCAATGCGAGAGGAAATGGAGGAGAAAGACGGAGAAAGTCGGTCGGGAGAAAGTTGCGCCTTGTCAGCCATGAATGAATGCGTTTGCATTCCGAAAAGGACAGACATCTCCCTGCAGCCGCAAAATGGAAATGGAAATCAATACCAAACTGAAATGAAAGCAGCGAGCAAATACTTTGCCACTTAAAAGTTGCACTCAAGTTTATAACGAATACGAATGTCTTAAGGAAAACGTAAGGACACTCTGCAAATATATCCGTATCGAATCCATAGTGTGGGATAATTACAAATAAATAAATGTTTTATTTGTTAGGGTTTTTTTTTGCAATTTCTTTAGTTTATTTATAGTTTTGCAAAAAGTTTTTACACATTTTAATTGGCTGTCATATATATTTGCCACTTTTATTGCTCCCATCTTGACACTCTGAAATTTATCGGGTTTTAAGAACTCTCTACAAAAGTTCTGTCTGCCTCACATAATTATTTGTAAGCTTTTGGAATGATAATAAAAAGTGTAGGCACAAAGGAAATAATATATTTATTGAATTATATTTCAAGGCGTAAGAGGAATTTTTTGTAATTTTACTAGTGCCATTTAATTATTGTAGAAATATTAAGGAAATTCCTTTCCACCTTGTGAAGCCAAAATTTTATGGCTTCTTAAATTGAATATATTAGTTATTTATTCGTTGTCAATGTTTTAGCGAATTTCTTTTAACTTTTTTATTTTTCCTTGTGTAGTAATGAGTTTTTAATTTTTGCCTTTGCAATAAATAATTTTTTAAAAACGTTTTCCCCTATATTATACGTTTTTTGATATATTTTTTTTTACATTTTTCCCTGTGTATTAAGTATTATAGTTTCTGGGGCAGGCACGTGCTAGTCTTTGGACTCAAGGCTCCGGCTCCAGCCCCGAGTTGCCTGTTGCAAGTTGCCTGTTGCTGTTTATGGCCTGCAGCCAGGCGCAACAATAAAGTGCAGCGCACAGACAACACAGGCGACCGACTGGGACACGTGTGGTCAGGATAAAATGGTCAGAATGGTAGGAACGGCATGGCCAACAGGATGGTCAGGATGTGTCCGCAGGCGAGTCCACAGCTAGACTGCAAGACCACAGGCAAATGTGTAACGAGCCAAGTGCTCCAGTTGCTAGGGAACTTTACTTTACGGCGGCAGGACTATTAAGGAAATGGCTGCAAATAAACTGCAGGAGGTTGTCCCCTGAATACCCGAGTGAGTATGAGTATCCTTTGATGTCCTGTCGCCAAATTTCAAAATAACCCGACTGCTGAGTTTTTAGGCATTTGAATGGCAAATAGAAAAAGTTTGCCGAAATCCTTTTGGCCAACAGACTTGCTAACAGACTGTCAACGGCTCATCATTGTCTTGAGATGGGTTCTGGGATATCTTGAAGAAGTTGGAGGAAAAGGAACGGCACTTTGATTTCGTGCTTCATTTGGTCTAATCAAAACTTGGCCAAAAAACACAAAAATCTGCAGCATTTAGTTGGCTGGCATTTTGCGCTTGTCAGCCTTTAATTTCCAACTTGGTTTTTATTAACTTTGCAAAGAATTTTGTGCCAAACAGGAATTTTCCCTGGAATTTACACTTCGTCCTTCAAGGCCTTTCTCGCTTTTCTCCCTTTTTGTTGTTGTGTGTTATTTTTGGCTTCACACGCCCATGTATAATTTTATTCTTTCTTTTTCTTTCTGCTTTGCACAATACCGAAAACAATTTCCGTATTATAAAAAGGGACACCGAACCCAAAAGGCAAAAGGCAGGTGCTCGGCGCAGGATAATTGAACCACTTCGATTGCCGCCAGTCCGGTTGCGTTTTTATTTTGTGTTTGTATTTTTGCGATATTATTTTCGGGGCCGCTCATAAACAAAAGGGAAAATCGGTCAGGCGGGCAAAGCATTTAAAGGGCTTTTTAATTAAAAAGTTTTGTTTGCCCTTTCGCCCGGCGTTTGTTTTTGAAGCCTGTTTGAAAAGGCCTTAAACGATAAACCAAATTTAACCTGCAGCTGTTTAATGTATGCAATTCGGCGGTATAATTATACTAGAATAATATTTACAATTAATTTAGAAATTAAACAGTAGGAAACACTTGGGGAAATAATTAAAATCTATCAATAAACGCAAAACTAAAAATAAATTCATAAGAATTTTAAAATATTTTTATTTAAGAAAAGAAAGTGTTTAAAGATTTACATTTGAGTACAGATATGATTTTCTTAGACATATAGTTAAAAACGTTCAAAAACTAAAAAAAAACTTTTGTAATAATTACTTAATTATAAATGTTTGTGTTTAAAGCTTTTGTCTTCACTGGCATTTCTTGAAAAGAAATTAAATACAGATAAATGGGTAAAAACCTTCAAAAAAATACAATAAACTCAATATCTTAATTATAACTTAATAATAAATTATTCAAAATAATCCAGCTATTTTTAAAGATTTTCTCTCAATTGCCAGAATTTGATTAACGATTTACATTTAAGTAGATGCACTTCTTGGGCAGCTGGCAAATGAATTAAAAATTCGCCTTTTATTGCATTTCATTTGCCGCTCATTATCATCAGGGAATAAATAAAGAATCACAATCACAACTGGCGAATGAAAATGAAATTAAGCATAAATTACGAGCTTCTGCCAGTGACAGCAATTCCCGAAAGCCGCCGCTCTCTGTGATTTATATATTCATTAAAAATCGAAGTGTCACTTACCTTTTTCATGAACGACATCACATTTGTTGGCAACATTTTGATGGCTTTTTTACTTCTGCTTTTTTCCTTGATGGAGAATTGGTTTTCGTTTTTTCGTTTTCGTTTTCCTTGTGTATTTAAAGTGCAATTAATCATGCATCCGCCGTGTTGGACGTTGCGTATACGTTATGTTTGCTTTGTTCTGCTGCGTTGGTAAGCCGCTTTAAGTCATTTCGATTTGGATTGTTTTCGTTTGCGTTCCTCTTGGCCTCTTGTATTGTATGCGATGCAGGCCATTTTTCATTGGCCATGTAAATAGGCATTGACATGGGGATATTGGCATTCCACCAGCATTCTACATGTTTCTCTCGATCTCCGGATTGATTTATGTGTGCAGCTCTAGTTCCACTTGGCCTGGCTTTTAATTAACTTTGGCCATAATTCACAAACGTTGTTATTATTATTATTGCCGCCGGCTGCAGCTGCTCCTTTTATTTGGCGGGCAGAAAACATGGAAAAGTACACCGAGAAAGAGGCGGAAAATTATAATTAGTCATTTGGCAGTGGGTGAAAGTGGGAGAAAGTGGTAGAAAGTTGCACGCGGCGCTTAAAGTGCTCAACTCACGGACGTGTAATGGTCCGCCCGGCTTACACCGTACTTAGCTGGGCTCCATAAATTTCCCTACGATAACCATCAACAGTGTTTTGGGTCTAGAACTCATACACACACGAAAAGTGGTGAAAAGTCGAGCGGCAAAAGTTTATAAGGCGGAAATAATGTGTCGCCTGGCATGCAAAAGTCCTTTTTCCTTTGTGACCTGTATAATAACAAGTTGGTCCTGTTAAGTGGGTTAGCCGAAATGAAACCTTAAAGTTAGTGCCCGAAACTGATTTTCAATAAGTCATTTTGGCTCCAGTACCAAGTTTAAGCTCTAATATACCAAAGTTACTCAAAATCCTAATGCACAGAACACAGAGAAAACTTTTTATAGCCATAACTAATAAAAAATATAAAGAAAAAATTATTATTATATATTTTAAATGATTTAAGAAATTTAATTATTGCAAAACCCAATTTTTAATAAATCATTTAATGAAATTTTTATTCAAAAATAATAAAAATAATAATATTAATTTTCAAATTGTAAAATTGAAATGGTTGATTTGTGTTTGGCTTTTACTTATCATTTATTTAGTGCTAATCAAACAAATCCTTTAAAATCCTTTTCCATTTGTATTTCCCCCACTGTATAGCTGCCTTGTTAAGCTCTTTGGCTGACTGATAAGCTGCTCTAGCAGTGCAATCACAATGCTTTGGCCAGCTTATCGGGCATTCACTGCATCGCTGGGATGTACTATACATATACAGCACATAAAAGGGGAACTGAACTCAGGGCTTTGGCTTTGCTGTTTGCCTGGAAATGGAATTATTAAATGAAATGACCCACATAGCAATTCAATTGTCGAGCCATCCGCTCGATTTGAGCTGCATCGGTCTAGGGATGTATGGGGATATATAGGGATATATACACTGGCATTTGCAATTCCCAGTTCCCAATTCCCATTGATGTTGCCCGAACAACGGATTAAAAGCGAAGGGATGCCGATCAAGTTTGAAGTTGCCAACTTTTCGGGCAAGTCATTGGCACAGAATGCAGTTAGTATGCATTCCCCTCGTTTTTATTCGACCATTTTGTGAGCATTTGAAAAGTTGATAAAAAGTCATTCGACAAGGGGAATGTGCTTACGCCCAATGAAATTCCCGACTTGTTGGGATGAGTTGCCAAATGAGTTGGCCAAGTTTTCAATTTTATTTGGGGAAAAACGAAAAATTAGTTTTTTATTTTTTAATTATTTGACGACTTTAAAATATATTTAAAATATTTCCAATTAAAATACTCAGTTATCAATTTAAATGCATTTTATTTTTGAACACAAAAAAAAGAATTAAGATAAAATTCTGAAAAAAATTATTTGTATATTTAGTTCTCAGACCTCTGACTTTTTAAAGACTTTAAATACTTTATTAATTTTTAAAAATTCATTTGAGATGTTTACTTAACGCCCAATGAAATGCCTAACTTTTTAAATGAGCTGGACAAGTTTTAAATTGTATTCGGTGGAAAAGTGAAAATTAGTTGCCGCTTAAAGCTGTCAAAATGCCAGCGACAGGACATGCATTCCGCTGTGCAAAATCAGGACGAGTTGATTTTTGGGAGGAAGATGTAAGGCAAAGTGTTACAAGTGTTTGCTCGGGGTAGGTGGAAAATGGGCGCGGAAAATTGGGTGGAAAAGCGGCGGGAAAGCGACGACAGGATTTCTCTCTGTCCCTCTCTTTTCCTCTCGTGCTTACACAAGCTTAGCGCGCAAGGATGTGCTCATAAATTGTAACTTTCCGTTGGCAACGTTGTTGGTGTTGGTAACAAGCATGAAATCACATGAACACACACTCTCTACGAAATCAACAGGACGAAAAGGACGAGAAGGATGCTGGCAAAGTTCCAGCCAACTTGGTCGGCTGTAGTTGGCACCCAGTTAATTAGCGCGAAATTGGGAGAATGAGTTTCCGAATCGGGCTCTGGGCTTTGGGCCAAAAGGGAAACCGCCCCCGGGCGAAGAGCCTTCTTCGTCCTTCGTCCTGTGCATGCTAATGAAACTGATCAGATTGCCATTAGCATTAAAGGTCAGCGTGTGTGTGAGGACGAGGGAGTGCGTCTCTGTTTAGTTGGAAATAATACATGCATTAAATAAAGTCCAACAAGATTTATCACCCACACGCTTAGATCCTTCGCAGGACTTCGGGACCCAAGGACATCGCAATTGTCACGCACAGGCAAACAAAGCTGGGAAAAAATAGAAAATAGAAAAAAACAAAAAACCAGGCCGTAACCGAACCAAATCGTAATTGAAACGCTCGAATATAAAATAGACGCTTCTACACCGGAATAAAAAAAGGTTTTATTTAATTTGGTATAACTCTTGAAATGTATTTCAAAAAATTAAGTAGTTTTATGTGTAATTTTGTTTAACTTTTTTTGGAAAATGAATACTGAATGACGGTAATAAATGGAATTTTATAATCATTTTTAATCTCTTATACAAAAATGCATTTTAAATTCAATATAATTTTTATGTCTATGATATAATATTATAATACTTTCATTTAATATTAGACTTCATTTGATATTATTTCTATCGTAAAGTATATTTTGAAAATTCTATTTTATATTTTTCTCAGTGGATGTCTAGTTAGAATTTTTTCAAATTTGTTTATTTTATTTTTGCTTGTGTGATGTTGTGTGTGGGGCTGCGGCAAACGTTCACTGTCCCTCGATTTATTGCGACTAACGTCACACAGGGTGTCAAAGTGAATTGTTATGCCGGAACGTGCATGGGACACAAATTAAGTGCAGGCCAGTCCGAAAAATAAATGGAGGAAAAAATGCGGCAGAAGCAATTCCTCAGCCAAATGAAGCGCAACAGCTTTTGAAACGGGGAATAAAAAAAAAACAGAGAGAGAGAGCATCCAATTGCAGTTGAGAAATCGCAGCGCAGTTCATAAATAAAGCGGACAGCAGGGGGCATCGCCGCCAGAACCACCAGAATAACCAACAGTCGAGTGCTGGGAAAATGGGAAACCGACCTCATGAATGGCATGAATGAAGCGTTGTCAACAAAGCCAAGCGATGGGGGATTTCCCCGGCGAGTCTGCAGATTACAAACCCAGTGTCCCGCGTCCTTTATCCTTTTTTTCCTCCTTCTCCTTTTTTGTCCTGTTGCTCGGCTTGTTAACACACTCCGTGCTCCGTTGTTGTGAAGGATAAGGATTCCGATCCCAAGGACCAAGCTAGGAGACCACAGAATAAGATGAGTGCCGAGTTACCCACTCCATCTTCCATCTACTTGAGGTGCCTTCCTGTGTGTGTTTGTCACTTGAAACTATGAAGAATCATAGTTTATCGATCTCGGGGCAAAATTAATTTGCCTTGCCAAGGAGAACAAGCGAAAGTTTTTTGAGGGGAAAACTTCTGCAGAGTAGAGCAACTTTCAACTTTCATTGAGGAGGAGGACAATCCAATGACACGTGCAAGCTGAATTTAAATATGAACTCGAGGAATTCCAAACTTTCAACTATCTGACTCAATAAGAAAATTAATAAAGTTTACTCTGAATGAGTATCGATTTAATAGAATTAGTTTTAGGTATTGCATTTTAAAAGGGGTTCAGTGCTAATTGGTTTTGGGTGAATATTTTTGTAAATACTGGAAAAAATTTAAATGTGAATTCTAGGAAATATAAACTTTGATCTATTTAATAAGATAGTTAATAAGGTTTGTTCTAAAAGAGTGTCGATTCAATAAAATTAATTTTTTTAAGGCTTTTATAATTTAATTATTGTTACAAATTTTATTAAATACTTTAAAAGTATCCAGAATATTTATTATATATTTTATTCTCCCAAAAATTTATTAGTATAACTCAGCTAGTAGACTTTTGTTTCAATACCTACACATATTTTATGATTTATTGTTAACAGAGTTTTTATTCTGAATTAATTGATATTATTTTGATATGTAGCTACTCGATTATCGTGCAGTGTCGCGTTGACAAGCGACATTGTTGGTCAAACAGGATTTTTAATGAACCTGCGACCGCGGCCTGTTTGCTCTTTGCCATCCCGCCAAAAGGACATGGACATTCAAGTGGCAAACGGACGGGATACTGGATACTGGACAGTGGCTACTGAATGTTGGCTACTGGATGTCAACGCCATGACTGGCTAATTGACAGAGACGGGCTTACGTGACGGCTACACGATCTTGCTGCCGCCGCTTGTTTCCTGCCTCCTTGAAAATCCTTGGAAAGGTTTAATTGCTGGAAATAAACAGAAGAAGTGGGGAGGGGGGATGTTGTGGGCTGACCGAACAGATTGCTGCCTGTGATTCTGATTCGGATTCGTATTCGGATTCCCATTGACATGGCCATTTCCATTTACAATTTCTGCCAGGATTCTCGGGATGCAGAACACGTACGCGTCGAAATGAAATAAAACTACGCCCATCTGAAAAGCGTTGAGCATTTCGCAGGCGGAGAAGGAGGCGAGTCGAGTACAAACAAAGGCTGGTAAACGTTTAAACTGCTGCCAAACTCAATTATTCAAATGGCTGTGAAGGAGTGGGGGCGTAGTAGGCGTGGCAGGGGGCATGGCTCTCATGTGCTGCCTCAAGTGGCACTCGCTTTGCGGTCGCACACGGCGATACTTGCAACTTGACGTTTAATCAAAGCAAAAGCAAAACCAGCAAAAGCCAAAGGTAAATGCCTAAGCAAGAGTCCTTCAGCAGGCACATGCCTCGATTTCCGCTCAAGGACCTCCGTTCTGCGGTCTGGCCACAAAACTGTTGACACGTCGTTCTCCATATCCTGTCGACCGACTCTATACACATATCCCGACTTTCATCTTAATTGAAATCGAATCAAAGTGTTTTCA